ATTTTGACCTTATTCATTCTAGGTATCATTAACACCGTCATCTAAATATCAACAATAATATTTCATCCCATTATCACCTGTCGGCAATTATTGATTGTAGTGTTACATTTGTATTAACGTTGTGGACTGTGAATCATAAAATCAAAAATTTTACTCAAATATCATCATGACGATACCATCATCGTATATATTCGATTGAAGTTCAATATTTAAAAGGACGTCATATCCGCATGACATGTTGTCTTCGTCTTACAAGTACGTAACATGGCAAATTTACGCTCAGTAGATCACGTTTAACTCCGTTAGTTTAAAAATTAGTGTGAATCAACCTATTATGAAACCTTATGGTAAAAAAAATAAAAAATAAATTAAAATTAAATCTGTGATCGTATGTTGGTTTTTTACGATTATTCAGTTTTTAAGAAGTTTAGAGAATTTTTAATTTACACAATATTATATAAGAACGCCTAACTTGCTAAAAAATTGAATAATCGTAAAAAAAATCAACACATGAACACAGATAATGTTCTTACCTTCAAGTTTCATAATAGGTCGATTCACTCTCATTTTTAAACTAATGGAGAATAAATTTGTTATGTTACGTACTTGTAAGACGAAAACAACACATGGTGTTCTCTTAACAATAATTCTAAAATCTAAATATTTACTTTTGCCTTTTGCAAACATGACTCGTTAATGGCTGTATTTACTATTTTTTTATTGCTGATGGCAATATTAGGAGACAATTCGATACCACAAGAAATAAATAATTATCTATGGAAATGTGTGGAAATTCAAAATTGCCTATAACTTAACGAGTTACCTTCCTTGCAAAATTGCGATTTTTAAGAATCGAATTAACAACATTATTACTAAAAGTGACTGAAATCATAAAACTGTGATTAAATATAAAAACAGATTATGGCAATTTTTTTTTTATTTTAAGAATTATAAAGAAAAGAATTGAGCAACGAAAATTTTATGATAAAGAATCCATAATATCTTGATTTAAAAGACCCCGACAGAATTTACAATCATTCATATTTTATTGCTATTATAATATAATGTGCCTGCCTAATATTTTTTTTTTAATATAATAAATTAATTTAAGCTATAGTAATGCTTTATTAATAGTAATTTTTTTCTTAACTATTTTAATATTTTGAATTTATAATATGTATAAACATGGTTTTTTTAAATATATTACTGGACAAATAATAAATTAAGTAGATGAGATTTGAATAATATTTATTTAATTTGTTAAATTAATACTTAAATGATTATTCCATACAGATAATCGCTTGTAAGTTATGATGTAAGCTGTAGGTGGTAAATTGAGAAGACTTAGTTTCTAATCTTTGATAACTTTTAAAATATATATTAATATTCAATGATTTAAATTCTGAGTGTACCAAAGAATTTATTGGTTTTATAATGGGGTATGTGTTTTTTTGTGTGTCTGTATAACCAAAAATTAATTGATAAAATGCTTCAATTTTCAACTTTGAGAATGAGTTTTGGTAGAAAATAAAATCTAGTTTGTATCAACAATTAAAAATTCCTAATATTATCAAAATATTCAGGAAAATAGACAAAAGATTAAAGAAGAACAGGAATATTTACACACATCTAATTTTCAACAAAATCAATTTTATTTTTTTGGTGTAACTCAAAAACCATCTACCGTAAATACATGTAGTTTTAACCAATTAATTCTATCATATTTTTTCAAGATAAAATTTTCAAAATATTTCTACTCTTTTCAATCAATATTAAATTTTTTTTTTAGTATTTTTCTATAAATGTACATTAAAAACTATTAGATAATTAGAAATATTTAAAAATTTAATACAAAGCTTCTAAATATTGTTAATACATATTTCTTTTTATAAATATATCAAAAATCTAAAATCACAATATTTTTTATATAGGTTTAATTTCGACAACATTTTACATCTGTATTGGATATAAATTAATTCAAAAAAAATTTTGTATTTACACTTGAGATTTGAAAATTCAATACAAGGTTCTGTATAAGTTTATCAACCTACATAAAAAGTAACAATTCTACCGGAAAGCTAAATTAGTTTTTTATAACCATTTAAAGTTGAAATTTTTATGAAATTGAATACGGTATTCACTTTACTAAAATAATTATTTCTTTTCAAACGATTTTTTGTTTTTGTTGTAAATTAATAAAGGTATAACCACAAATACCTAAAATTTTCACTAATCGTGAAATATTTATAATCTTATTATAATTTTTTATACATAATATAATTTTCAAAATATCTTGATGCTTTTTTAGCTATATATAAACATAAGAAATTTTAAAAAAATGATATTTATTTTTTTTATAAATAATGATAAAAATTATCAGCCTGGACAATTTTTTTGTTAAAAGATCCCACATAATTTGTTCTTATATTTGTATGATTATTAGGGTTCGGAAGTTGACGCATTTTGCATTTTTTTTTTTTTTTTTTGGAACTTAATAGACAATGCTCTCCTGGCCACAAACGTATTTTATAAACATGTGAATTTAAATAACTAATTTTTATTTTACATTTTTTTTTTCATTTTTTAGCTTTTTTTTTTAAATCATTTTTAAGTCATAATTTCTTTTTTAAGTCATTTTTTGGTCAATTTAAGGTTTTATTTACCTTTTAGTTCAAATTCTTGTATTTATAATTAAATTTTGTCAATTAATATCTTACATGCATAGTTTTTGTTTTACAAAGACTGTATATTAGTACCTACATAAAATTTATATTTTATAAAATAAAAAAATATTTTACACAAGTTATATACAGGTTAAGTAAAGATAAAGATTGGATAAAATAAGGCAATAACTGCTAGCTGTCATTTTTACTTTTGACAATATAAAATATGCAATAGTACAATTTAATGATTTCAAGTATTTTTATTATTATTACTATTCTTTTTTTTTTTAATGTATTTTTACTAGTTTATTTATAATTTTTTAGGTCATTTTTTTGTCATTTTTAAGTTATATTTCCATATATTTTTTAGGTCATTTTTTAATGTTTTTTTAATTTCTTTTATATAAGTTTAGATCTTAAAAAATTCTTCAATATCAATAAAATTTACAAACTAAAAATATTTTATAGTAAATAATTTATAAAACCATCAATTTTTATAGCTAAAATTTGAAAATTTAATATTTTTTTAAATATTAAAATTACAAATGACGAATAACGATATTAACTAATTTTTTTTATAATTCAATAATATTACTTCTTGGGACTTAACTATATAGTCTATATGCAATGATATAAATTAATTTTAACATATTATCTATTATTTGTATGAACCTATTCACTCTGTTTTAACGGTATTTACAGTAAGGTATTATATTATTATTATTAATTCTTAAGTTTACAACAATATTATCGTATGTTAAATATATATATTATTAAAATAGCTAAATACCAATAATATCTTAAATACAATTTACATTGATAATGTACAAATTTGAATTACATAACACTTATTGCTTGGTAATTTTTTTGATTTCATGAGAAAAAATAATACTTAAATATATTATAGTTTATAGTAGGTGCTTTTAACTTAAAATTTTTTTTTTTTTATCATATAATATTATATATACATAAATATAATGATTATTAATACATTTTATTAATTTGCAAAAGACTTCCGTAATAATTTTATGATGAAATGTTTATATTTACGTATTATACGTATACCTATATATTCAGAATTTAGATGACCTATAGTTTCAAATTTAAATATAATGTTCTATTTCCTATTCTTTTAAATAAAAAAGTTTTGAATCAATATTCTAAAGTTATATTTTTGAATTTTGAGAAAATTACATCTCATATTGTTAAGAAATAAAATTATTAAATTGTAGCACATATTTTAGATTCTAGGCAAAGCAATTAGTTTTATTATAAAAATTATAATTTATGAATTATTTCCAGTTATATTGAATACCATGATATTTTTGTTCTTTTTTTAAAATTATTATTTAATTTTAACACTTTTATGACATAAAAGATTATCTACATAGTTATTTGTAGATTAAATAATAAATATTTATAATTGTAAAGTATTTCAATTTCAATGATGGAACTTATAGTCATCAATAATAAAAACCGATCTAAAACGGTTTTTTTTCGAAATTTCATACACAATATAGATTTGTTATATTGATAGATATTATATTTATAATAAATTAGGTAATCAAAATTATAAAACTTTAAACTTTATATTAATCTTTAAAGAAATTACCTAGGTCAGTAGGTCAGCGTTTTTAAACTGTTTTATAGTGAACCCAAGGGTTCCACGGAGCTTATGTAATTTTTTTTCAAAATTTTCAAGAAAATTACTTTAAAATATCTAACTAAAGATTAGTAGCGGATAGTGGAAGAAAAAAATAAATGTGTGTACAATTTTCATAAATAAATCCTAATATTAATAAGAATATTTGTTATAATAAAAAGCGTTTTCACTAATTTCATTAAAATTAAAATTTAGTCTAATTAAACAATTAAAGTAATTTAAGTATTAATATTATTTTTATTTTTATATTAACATATTTTTTTTAATTAAATACCTTTTTATTATATGAAATAATTATGATTTTTATTGAAAATAGCCCTAAAAAAAATTTAAAAACTAAAAAAAAATAAAGTTCTACGACAAAAGTGGACAACAAAAATTGTTCCACTGATAAAAAAGTTTAAGAAACGCTGATCTAGGTACTATTGTACCACATCATATGAATAAAAATATACTTAAAATATATGTGACTGGAAAATGAAGATAAATAAAATGTTTAATTACTCGAAGACCTGATAATACTTCCTAGTGTTTTCCATTTGACATTCAACAATATAACATACTCAGATATTTTTTAATTTATTTTGTAAAATTAAATTTACAAAAATAATAATTTAAAAAATTAAGTAATATATAATTAATATTTTTTAGATTAGAACAGTGAGCATTCCAAAATGGCTATACAAGGACCAAGCCGCAAAGATGTCAAAGTCTTTTATATGAATACAGTTCCCAAACCAGTATATGAAGTAGAATTCAAACCTCTACCATTTTACAGAAATGTACATAAAATTGTTCTGCCAATGGCTATTTATTGTATCCCAAAAGTTGAACCCGAAGGTGGACAATCACAAGGTATAAATCTAATAAAAATATATAAAATAATGGATAATGAAATTTTCATATGAAATGTTTTATTCTGTTTTCAGTATACACTCCATTTGATTTTGAATTTGAATTGCCAGAAATAATTCGATCAATAATAAACAGTAATATAAAAGATCTACGATTGCAGATCCGATTTGGAGAAGAGAAGCCAGGGAAGAAATATTTGTCAGATGGATTACCGGGACCAGTACAACTACGTATTAATACGCTCACACCAATCTCAGCCCAAAAGAGCCCTATAAATTATGATTGCAAATCTTTAGACGATAGAAATAAAATCGTAATATTGTGGCCATCATGTGAAACCCCATATTACATGATAGTAGATATTGTGGAAATCATCACGATTGAAGATTTGGTGAAACGCATACAATTTAACAATAAACTATGTTCTGTTAAATTAAATACAAAAGCTAAGGCAATAGAACTGTTGAAAAATTCAGATTCAGAAATTTTGGATTCGGGGTCCTATAAGTTCATTTTATTCTGTCCAATAACCAAATTAAGAATGAAATTACCAACAAAATCTTTAAAATGTAGTCATTTACAATGTTTTGATCTGCATTCATTCATTGCAATGAATAAGATAAAACAAACATGGACATGCCCGATTTGTATGATTCCCATTTTAGTTGATGAATTGGTGATAGATTCATTCCTTTTGGATATTATCAATAATTCAACTCTTCCTGAAAAATGCTTTGAAATAGCATTATATGCTAATGGTGAATGGGAACCATGTATAGAACCGAAGAAAGAAAATGAAAGCAATGGGAGCGAATCTGACGATGAATATTTAAAAAATACCATTATTCCTATGAATTCAGATAATTTTGATGATAAAAATATCCGTGATGAAAAACCTATATTACCAATAACAAATAGTTGGAATTCTAATGAACCAATGTCTATCAATCAGACTACAACCATCAACGAAACAAACATTAAAGAAGAACCGGTTATTAAAAAGGAATAAAATCAATCATAATATGTGTAATTTTTAATTTAGTACAAATAATAATTTAAGTTTTTTAACTGTAATTATAACAATATATTGTAATTATACGTATTTAATAATTTATCAATAATGTCAGTAGTGTAGCCCACCTATATTATTTGTATTATGTAAAGTAGATTAGTAGTAGTGTGTACCTATTGTTTACAGATTATTGAAAACTATACATTATAGGTCTAAGATTTATATTTAGATGTATAATGATGACAGATAAACGTCGTAATTCAATATGTTCAATTTAATCTAAACCAAAACATCGTTAACAAAGAATAAATTTAATTAGAAAATAATTTTATGTAATAAAAATAATAGTCAATGATAGAAGTTGAATATTTATTTTTATTTTTTTAAATTACTCATTGTATTTTATTTGTATTTATTTGATATTAATAATAATTAGAGAATTTAAATATTATGTAGTTTTTTTAATAATTTACGTTGATGGGGGGGGGGGGGGATTACAACCCCCTAGATATGCCATTAATTATTGGTATACATAGTATACATTTTGATCGAAAAAGTTATAATAAAATTATTATCTAATAAAATGCAAAAAAGAACATGAATAAAATTGTTCTTAGCAAATTTTAAATATAAATTCTATTAAGTTTTTAATGCTATAATTAGTATAAAAAAAATTCAAATTCTTCGCATGGTGAGGTAAGCATGCTTAAAAAAATCACACATTCACACCTATATATCCAATATTTATGAAAATAAAAAGATCAATTTTACATAATATCATTAAATCATACACAATATGATTTAGATATTATACATAAAATGTTATATGGAACGTTTAAAACCATATAGAGATGTTAGTCCCCTTGGAATTTTTTCCGACTTGCCGTGCTTTTAATCCCTGAAAAAGTGATTAAGGAAAATACTATTAAGTCTGAAATTTGTACATCACTGATATACTAAATTAATCCGTTTCGCAAGTATTTTGTTATGATAATAGCTTAAATATTTTCCGTAATTTCTATGCAGTCCAAAAAAAAAAATTTTTTAAATATTCTATCAAAGGCCAAATTACGTAAAAATTACTATTTTAACTTAATTTTTCTAAAATTATTTTAAAGTTACTTGAAATTTTTATTTTTAATCAGCAGAGCCTCAACGTACCAACTAGATCCAATATTCTATCAAAAACTTTCCTAAAAGTATAAAATTAATACATTTTTAAAGCCCAAAAAAATTAAGAATTACAGACATAATTTTTTTTTTTTTGAAAACACATAATTGTAAAATTAATTGTTGTACATTCATCAATCCTCTAAAACTCTAAAATCTAATTATTTTTATATCTTTTTTAGACAATTTATTTTTAAATAAATATTTATAATTTACTATGCATTATGCAATGAAATAAACAAATTACAAACATATTCGTTATTGTAAATGGTTTTATAGTTCCACTTTCACTTAAGAACAAAATTTCAAAATATATAAACCTTAAACATTACTTATTACAACATTTTAATTCTATTGAGGCAGTGGTAATTTTTCAGTGCACTACAATTTCTCAAATTTATGTTTTGTTAATAATATAATATAATTTCGATCAAATATAATATAGGATGTTACATAAAATGCACAATTTTTTAACATTCAATAAATCAGCGAAATTCATAAATAATTAGGTACAAACTTTTTATTTTATTACACTTAAAATATATTTCGATTTAATGTTTAAAAATTATATTTACCATATTATGTCTACATCCGCCATCTCTGCAGACTATCATTTCCAGGACACATTCGCACTCTCTTGCACTACCGCAACGTTTGGCTATGTACAAATTTTACAGTTTCGACCTGGACTTTTTATGTTTCAACTTAACCCGTTTGTTCAAATTTCCGTACTAATCTCAGGACTATTGATGTAGTAGGAGCATCCACACGTCCAAGTCATGCGAAGTTTACAGTCACAGCTGAGCACTCACCGTTTTTGTAATAGTTTTCAGTAAGAATATAAACAGATATGGTAACTAAATCGCTCCATGACAATTAAGTTTAATGAAAACTAATTAATTTCTAATCGGAGTGATAATAGATGACAAAAATAATTAAAATAGGGTTGACAACTTTCAAAAAAAAAAAAAAAATCCTACGCATTTCAAAAATTGCGCACTTATAAACACCCATCATATTCAACGGATTAAAATCGGGCCGACTATCGACTATTGCACTATTACCTTACACTTTTATATATTGTCAACGCCAGCAGTACACATTAATATTATTGCATAGAATTCCAACACGAGTATAGGAATAATCGTGGTTTATAGGATAAAGACGTAAAGACCTAAATGTAACACTTCTAAAAAACGTACCTGTGTTCAATTCGGTGATCATAACGATATACATTATGCAAATAAATTAATTAAGATTGGATATGTTGAAATTCTTTCACTTTCAGTTATCTACCGATTTCAATCAAAGAAAATAAGAGTAATATTAAAAGGACGCCGCACCCGCATATGTTATCACTGTCTTACATACATACAACATGGCAAATTTTCGTTCAGCAGAATCCATTTTATGTTGTTAGATTTAACATTAGAGTAAATTTACCTATTATCAAACTTAAGGGTAAGAATTTTATCTAGGCAATTTTATAAGATTTTAATGATATTTTAATTTAAAGCTGAGTTATAGATATATAATATATTAAAACTTTAAAATGCTCATAACTCACTTTAAAATTATTTTTATTTTTATAATTAATATAATATTAATTAAAACCTATGTCATTGTCTAGATAAAATTCTTACATTTAAGTTTGATAATAAGTAAATTTACTCTAATATTAAAGCTAACAACATAAAATGGATTCTGTAGAACCAAAATTTGCTATGTTGTATGTATGTAAGACAGAGACAACAAACGCGGGTGCGGCGTCCTCTTAAACACAAAAAAAATCAAAAATAAAATCATTTAAATTTTAACATAGCCTTTTGGTTGTCCATCTCACGACTGAGTTCCTAGGTGTTTTTTGATTTAATTTGTCATTATTAATTTATAAGTGTAGATGTAAGTAAATAATTTACACTGTAAACCTATCACCGTGGTAAGTGGATCAGCTTTTGGCTTTATTGTTTTTTAGATTGTAACATTATATTAAGTTTTATTATTTTTATGATTTTATTAGCTCTAGACAGCATATTATACAAATTAAACAAAAATCTATTAAAACCTACCATTTGTTACTAATATTATTATTATATAATACTGAACTAGACATTTTTTGTATAACTTAACTATACCTACTGTTATTTATTCTATTACAAATTTTTGAATTTTAAAAAAAATATATAAAGATTTAATTCAAGAAAATGTGTATAGCTTGGATATAAAATTAAAAAAAGATGAGGAAATTTTGGTAGATCAATTTAAATATCTCCAAGTATTTAAAACTAAATACAAAGTATTATAATTGGTTCAGGGTAATGTATGATGAATCTGAAAATAATACTCCAAATCTGATAAAACAAACAGAGTTTACAAGAATAGGTGAAAGAATCTGATCATAATTGATTTTATGTTTCTGTAAATTAATGTCTGAAAACAAAAATTTCTCAAAGGTACATTGTCTATAAAGATATACATTCCCTACAAATATTAAAACTGGAATTATGTCATGTAATACTTGACTAATAAAATGATTTAAATTCTGAGGCGGACTAAGATCCAATCCATTCCTACCTTATTGTATAATCACACCTAGCATACAAAAGCATTTTACCAATTCATTTTTTTTTTTTAATTTTCGAATTATCAATTAAATAAAATATATTTATATTTTTGAATACACAATGATTTAAGTTTGATTCTCCTTAAAATGTAATATACATATATTGTAAAATTAAAATTAAAATTTTTACTAATGTAGATATACTCAAAAATAATTTATAATAGGAGTAAGTATTTATTTTAAATTATTAATAAAATATTATACATAAATTTAATTAAATTTTTTTTTTTTTTTTTAATCACTGTTTAATAATATGATTTATGAATATAAACATTGTTTATATAAATAAATGAAAATACTTGCAACAAACTAACAAATCATATTTAGTTTATACATAAAATACATCTGTACTCTGAAGTATAAATGTATAATAATTACCTAGTAAACAAATTCAAAAATTAACTATTTATTAACGAATAATGTTGACATGTAATATTATAACAAAAATATTATATTTAAAATAAGTAATATTATTTATTGATTACTAGATTTTATTTCAATCTGCAATTAAATAATAAAATATATGATGTAATATATAGGTAATTAATGAATTAGTAGATTGAAATAATTATAGTTTACTAAATTCTTCATACTTACCAACAAATATTTTGTTAGACATGCATTTAGCGACCGATCCAAATGATATTTTTTTTTGTTTTCGATCATTGGCAATAGCCAGAAAATTTACTAGTTTTCTTTAAACGAAACTTTTCAGCTCCAACCCTCGATTTTTTTCCATAATGTATTAGGTATGTATTTATTTAAGTATTAAATAACAGCTGTATAAACACTGAATAAACAAATTATTTCATAGGTACACGATGTTAGGTAAGAGTAGACGACACTACGGCAGAAACCAGAATTGCGGAATAACAAAGCAATGATTCGTATCGTGCATTTATACTATCATATTATTGTAGTATCATAACTATTATAGGCTCAATATTGTAAGAACTATTTTAGTAATGTTTCCAGGTATTCTCTGGTGGCTATCGATCGCTGATAAAATCGCAATATAATTAATATATTATAAATATATATATAATATAATGACTAGTGTATTACGTAATAGTGTAATACGCAGGAAATCAAACCTGTATAAAATTGGTTCTAATGTAATAATTAATATTACTTATAAGTTATAAGAATACTTACAAATAATATTTGTCTATAATACTTTTAATACAATAGGTACAAGTCGGGTTATTTTATATCGGCCCAATGGATATAATAAACACCGGCTCACTGTACAAATACACAGTTGCACAATATTGGGCCCAGTCCGCCCTTGTCTAAGTTAGATAAATGCATGGTTGCTTCTGACAAAGGATAATTTTAAAAACAATAATAATTAATCGATTTTTTTTTTAACATTTTTCATAAAACAAAAAGCTTCCAAATCAGAGTATATTCTCATATTAGTCATATTATATTCAAGGTATATTTTTCTGCACATCTAACTAACTGTTCAAGAAAACATTCGTTTTTTGCCATGAAACGTATCAAACATCACTTCAGATAAGTTCGTCCTATTAATAACTCAAAAAATACCTGACAAAGAAATCAAATTATTTCAAGAACACTTACACCTCGAATTAATGAACGAGTTCTTTTATTGTTTAGCTAAGAAACACTCATTTATTTTCTCAACAACGTATATTATGTCTTTTATTTTAATAAAAATGGCATAATATTTATAGCTATTTGTGTTGTGTTTTGGTAAGGAGAGGTATGACAGATGTGTTAATAAATTTCCAATATTTCAATCTAGAATTCATTATTCACAAATACTTCACTATATTATTAATCCTAATAAAGTAATAACTAATAAGTAATGAACTTTTAACGCAACAATCCCAAATATTGAAATTTTGTATTAACCAGTTTTATACCATGTTCTATAAAGCATGCAGGATAAAAAGTATTTTTTCTTTATTTAAAAATAAATTATTTGCAGTCATGTTAAGTCAGCAAAATATATCTATAGATCAATATCATGTATTTCTTCCTCTCACCAGTGAAAATTTTAGCCACACTAAGTTTAATCTATCTAAATAAAAAATTAATGAAACCCTTTCCATCATGTTCAACTTAAAATGACATAAGATATTACCTTGTAACAAATCTATTTTAATAACTAATAATAACAAATTGAAATAATAATAATAATAAAATAATAAAATAGTTTTTCAAATCTGTTTATGTATTTTATTGAAAATGTATAAAAAGGAACAATAAATAAAAACAATTCTCTTGTTAACTATAAGACAAAGACACCTTTTCTTTGTATGATTAAATATCAAAAAGTTATTAATAAATGTAAATCAATTTCTTATAAGCTAATATTTAAAATAAAATAATATTTTTATGACTAATAGAATTCTGTATAAATCAAAAAACTTTTAAAATAATAGCAATTCTGTTTTAACAATTTAAAATAACTATATCAGAGTAAAAAACATTTTGTATAGCTTTCTATAAGAACTAATATTTTAAATAACATAAAATTGGTATAACTAATAGGACTCTTTATAAATCAAAAAACTTTCAAAATAATTACATATTGGTTTTAACAATCTGAATAAATGGTACTACATCAAAGCAAGAACATTTTGTATAGCTTTTCATGATAAGGATTTTTAAAGTGAGGAACAAAATTGATTGGAACTATTTCAGAAATACCTTCTTTTTTAGAAGGTTTCTGAAATTTAGAACTGAAAAATAAAAATACAAATGTAATTAATTTAAATGACTAAGAATTAATAAACTACACAATAATTGCCTTGAAGTGCACGGTGTTAAATAATTTATCTCAAAATGTCATTATTTTAATAAAATATTTTAACAATAATTATTCTTTAATAATTAAATCACGAAATAATAGTTAACAGCTATAGAACATTTAAATGATTTTTTTTTTTGAAAATGTTGACTGCTAACTATGCTAATGGTTGGCTCAACAAAACTTGTTAAAATATAACAACCAAAATAGCTCAATCTACTAGTATAAATAGGTCTAGTTACTTTGATAAAAAAAAAAAAAATTAACTAAATATTTTTATAAAAAATTCTACAATTTAAAATAATATTTTTTAGACCAGTTTGACTTGGAAAAATAATATTATTCTAAACTTTTAAATATAATAAAATAAATTTAGATCTTTTGATGATTAAGCTGTTTTGAGGTACATGGCTTTTCTTACTGATTAATCTATAAACTTAAAATATAAAAGTAATTGTTTTAAAAAAAAATAATATTGAATGTTCTAATTTTGATGTGCTTTATTTGCAAAATTAAAAATAGATAGCTAGTATAAAATATTTGACTAAAACCAAATGTCTGATTGGAATTATTTAAAAATAGGTTAGCCCTAAAAATGTTATGTCCTTGTATAGTTTTTAGGGAAACGTATTATTAATATTTGATTTAAATATTTTTCATGAAAATTTAATGAACTTTAAGTTAGATTATATGTTGTTATACTTAAATAAATTACAATAAATGTAATAAGTAAACAAATTCAACTGAAAGTTTCAAATTCTTAACACATAAAAACAAATAGATATATAATTGTTTTGAATAATTTTTATTTAAAACTTAAAAAGATATTAAACATCATAGTATAGTATGTTTTACTAAAAAGTAAAAAATATTTTTATTTTTATTTCTTAATATATATCATACATATTTAGAAGTATTTTTATATTGAGCTATCATAATGTGAACTAAGTTCTAAATATTATAATAATTTAATAGGTAAATATCCACTATACTATAAATTAAAATGTGTATAAAAAGTAGTTATATAATGAATCATATAATCTTATACTTACAAGTATAAGTCAATTGCTTCTTCAGATACTTTTGGGTGCTGTTTATCAGTTAATTCTCGAAACTGTAATTGATAAAATTAGGTAGTTCATTTGTAATATGTACAAATAAATTGTTATAAAATATATAAATGTGTGCTATAAATAATGAATATAATTGAAAATAGAATAAACAAACACTTTTTTTAACATTTATGTGCTTAAAAACATATTTTTTTTTTAATTATATCATATTATCTTATATTAATTAAAAATAACATTATTACAAATTAACTATTTTTTATCTTAACATAATTAATTACATAGAAAATATAATTCATGACATAAAAGTAAACAGGTTTTAAATAATACTTTATTTATAGTAAAAACCAAGGCTGAGAATTAACACGTGGAAAATTTATAGTTAATATTAAAAAGTTATATAACAATTTTTATTGTTATTATTTATTTTTTAAAGTATTTTTTTAACAATTTAAAGTATGTATTTTGAAGTTAGGTTAGTTTATTTTTTCTTAGAATGAACTCTAAATATTTAAAATATAATTAGTTTTACACAAAAAAGAATTATTTATAATTGTTATATATAATTTAAATACTTAACTATACATTTTTGAAGTGTTAAATACATTAATTTTGATTTCAATAGGGATCAAAACAACTTAAATTCCTGATTACATCTTAATATAAATTTCCAAAATAATATTCTTGCCATAACATATTTTGGGTTTGGATAAAGTGCAAGAATAAAAATTAATATATTGAACATGTTTTAATACTTCTACAATCTACTGCATTTAATAAGTAAAAAAATATATATATATATTTCCTTAATTAACTCTTAAGTATAAAAAATTAACTTAAATAAATACATAATTCTCTAATATCTATCACCTATTGAAGCCCATCATTGGATAGCTATCGTTTTTTATTATTTTTTCTGTTATATGCTCTTTTATATATAATATGTTTATGTGTATACTTTTATTAAATTTAAGTATGTGCTTTGGTATAGATTGTAAACATTCAATTAATATTATATAAACATACATGCATATATACATGCACATATAATGGATTTTTAACAAAAATAATTTTACTTTTGTTTCCATTGAACTTTAAACTTACTTACATTTTCTATATTAACTTAACTTAGAAAGTTACAAAAATTAATTAACTCTACCAGCTTAGGTAAATTATATGTTAATATTACAATATATTGGTTGATTTGCTTTATAACCCATTAATTTAACAATAAAATTAAAAACTTATTTACATTGTCTTTAAAGTTAATTTAAAAAACGTTTTATTACTAATTCAAGGCTTCAGAAGGAGTAAACAACTTAAAACAAAGATGACATACCTATTTGCTAATGGTAGTCTATTTTAAATAATTTTTTTTTTTTTTGTATTTTAAGTATAAAATGTTATATTTATGATTTAGGTTTTAAATATGTATTTATTTGAGACAAAACAAAAAAATAGTTACAAATTATATTAATTTTTATGACAAGTTCTAAAAAGAAAGAGATTTCTGTCATTAAAAAATTTTATGGAATTTAAAATATTAAAGTTATTATTTTACGCTTACTTTGTTATTATGTTTTCCATGCTGTTTGGAAACTTTCATTAAAAAAACTCTACATGGTATTTTGAAGATTTTAGCAATGTCAATAAATTGTTTTCTTGTTTCTACATCCGGATTTGTATTGTCAATTACTACACTCACACTACTACTACATAAATACTTTGTAGTCTTTGCAATACACTTTTGCCATGAGCCTAGAGTATCTCTATTAATTATTTTCATACGATCATGACACAATAAACTATTAGCTGCAAAATAACTTTTCCCTGAACCAGGACAACCAACCATAATGATCATCTAAACATAATTTTGTATTAATATTAAAATTATAAATTGCATTTATTGATGAAAACTTGCTTCTTTATGTGAGGAAAACAAAACTTGGGATGATAAATTTGTGTAAAAGATATTAGACAGAACATCATTTGGATTAAACGAAGGTAATGCAAAAGCTTCTGAAGTAGGTTCTTTCCAAAAGTATTCCTCAGGAGTATAAAATTTAAGACCAATATTCATAGCAAATAAACGGTCATAACATGACTGATCTTTTTTAACTCGTTTACCATCAGAATTAAAACGAGCACGTCGACCTGCAGCAACACCACAAAAAAAACTCTTATCTGTGTCAACTGATATACCTCCATTGAACTAAAAATAAAAAAGCATGTAAATAAAATTGATATAGTTACATAAAAAATAATAATCTTACATCAGACAACAAAATATTCCACATTCCTGGAGCAGGTTTTCCATATATATCTTTCCGAGTAGCTATAAATACTTGAACTGGTGTTTTGATCAATTTAGGGATATTTTCAATTTTTGTTTTAAATTTTTTTTCATTTTCTTTGTTACCAACAATATCTCTTTGGTTAGTAAATATTACTAATTTATAACCATTATCAGATAAACTTTTAATAGATCTTTTAACGTTAGAGTTATAAATTTTCCAGTCATTCTCATCGTCAGGGAAATCTTTACCTGACAGAGCAACATTAAGTATTCCATCCATATCGAATGCCGCTATCTTAAATATCAAATAAAAAGTTTAATACTTAAATGAAAAGTTTAAAATCAATTAGCATTTACCTTATCTTTATGAACAATATTTGTACTATTAAACACCAACAATGTACCATCTATAATATCCCACATGGATGTAGAATTTGAAAGAAGTATTTTTGGTGTAATTGCTTTATTTATACAAAAAAAATTGTTTTTGTTGTAGTCTATATTATAAGAAAGTGTTAAAAAATCAAAATGATAAGTGTGATTGCTTTTATACAACAACGCCACTTTGTCTCCATGATTTAAGAGTCGTTTTTCTCCTTTTGACATAGATTGATTATTAATAGCTGATCTACTTTTACCTAATTGTTGAACACATATTTTACCCGTAGAATAGTCTGCTACAAATTTCACTACAACAGTAAATTAATAAACCATAGTTAATATGTGTTTAAATAACTAAGATTACATAATATATACAAATATGCAAACTTAATTAATAATTTAATTTGATTAAAAAAAATTATATGGATTAAAATAAAATGACAAAATATTAAAATAAAACCAAAATATTTTAGCTAATTATTCTATATTAAAAAACAATTGTGTTATTATATAAGTAGATAATATTGAAAATTTAAAACAATATTGATGCGAATAAAATGATATAGTATCAATTTTAATGAAAAAATATACACGTTATAGATATATTATGATAGGTATGAAAATATTCTAAATATTCAAACAATATACACATCATAGCAACTTGTATATACATCATATAATTAAGTCACTACATGATCATCAGTTGAGTAAAAACAAATTAAGTCATATTTCAGTATAAATAGGAAAAACGTATGTATATATTTATATAAATTCCTATTTATATGGTCACATACGGCATTTATACGGCATCACACGTGAACAGCTGGACCGATTTCACTAATTCTTTTTTTGTTGTATTTGATGTTATCAGAAAAAAGTTATTATGGAAAAAAATATTAAAAAAGTTACGCAGAAAATTAGCTATTTAATAAAATAAATACTTATACATAGAAAAAAAAATACATCAATAAACATTTATTTATTTTTCTAACCGTTTTTATTCAGATTTACAACAGAGGTCAACAGGGCAGTGCAATATTATTTTGTCAGTCTTTACGTTTTTTTTTTTTTTTTAACAAGGTATTATAAAAATTAAAGACGTATAACAAAGAAAATAGAAGTTTTTTCAACCTTAATTATTTTGTAAAAATAATTAAATACCTCCTGTGCGAAGCCGGAAAATTCAGCAAGACACAAATAAACGTAATTCATATGTACAGTGTATTAATATTATTATATTTACTTTGACTTTTCGACAATTTATGATTGACCATTCCAATCTGTTGTTTTTTTCCCAATATAAAAGGTTCATTATGCAATAAAATAAATTTTTGTTCTGGATTTTCGTCAGATACTAAAACAAAATACTTGACACCGTCGTTGGTCTTCAATTCTGACATACTGGACAGAGCAATTATTAAACGTATTTAAAACGAAAATTACCTAAGCTTATTGTCTACGCTCAACCGTAAAAAAAACACAATAAGAACTGGTATGTTGTCAACAATTAAAAATATTTAAATCGTTTGAGAATCAAACTCGAACATTTATCATTAAGACTGTTAATTATTATAAAATTTATGAAGAGGTTATGTCGGTTTATTTAATTTTATATTTATAAATAAAATATTAATACCACTATTATGGCAAAATACCGATATAAATATGTAAACATATGTTTATCCACTTTGATAATAACAATAACGGTCGGTTAATTTATTCTGATAATATAATAATAATAATAATAACGATTAACGATTTACGAAATGTGATTTATTAATAACCATACCGGACAGACAAACAGCTAAAATTGTATTGTGTATTGGCTCCGACGGCGATCTTGCTTGCCATTATTGTCTGGTAGTGATTCCATGAACTTTAAATATTGTTTACTTCCACGATCCACGGGGCGCGGACCGGGTCTGCGATTTTAAATGAATTATTTGACTTGTTGAACGCGACTTGAGCCGGGCTCAAATGCGACTGGCTGTTGCTTCTTCATTGGCCTTTTATCGTATTCCGAAAGGCCGTTACGTGGGCAATGAACGTATATTGTTATTTATTATGCAAGCGACATACGTTTACGGAAAATGTCCTTAATTGGATGGGTCGAACTCGACTTTTGAGACACGACACTGCTACAGACGACGTAGCTGCAAGCCTGGCTCGAGATAATAAAATTATCATGTCTCGCAGCACTTCGACGTACAGCTCGTGGTTGCTATTCGACGATATATTTTGATGACGGGTTTCGACTTTCGATAGTGTTTTCAATAGTATATTAGAAGGTATTATTTAGATAATACAACTGAGCACAGCGGACGAACACCGATCAGTTTGACTTTGACATATTTTGTGGACCGTAAGTGACGCGACCGGCCATAAAATACTGGCATCGCTTGACCGCTGAGTGAAATTTTCCTCGGAAGCAACTCGTAGACCGTAGTAGGGATCTCACGGATCTCGCGCCTCCTTGCATCACCCGTTTTGATTATAGCTGATTTGACAATTAATTTTTGCCTAATGTCTCTGGTTTTATTTCCATTTTTCAGCGTTTAATTCTGACGTCGACGTTTGCAATCATTTGTTTTTTGTGCCTACAATAAACAGTATAAACTTGTAAATGAATTCGCATTTGTTACCAATTTTGTTACTTTATGCATAGAATAAATAGCCGTGTTATCATACTGTTTTGATCTATGCTTTTTATGAGAAATGTTCGTAATACGCTACTAATCATATATTTTTATTTGTAAGTATCAATGTATAATAAACTATCATAATAATATAGCTTTTAAATCGGATCTTGTAACTATAATATACATTTTAACAACAGTAACTATACTATACTAATTAATGATCAATGTTATAAATCGTGATTGATAGACTTTAATTCAAATCAAACTATAGATTTTGACTTGAGCCATAAACCATATTGTTTTTATTTTTTACAATAATATTTTCTTATGTGTCGATTTCACGTTATGGAATAAGAAGTTATTTTTGAAAATAATTTATATCTAATTATTTCCAGTTGGTACTATTGATTTTAATGCGTTAAAAATATAAAGCTAAATGATTTTAAGAATCGGATAAAACTATAAAAAGTTGTATATTGGTTTTTTTTTAACAAAACCATTGTTGTAGTTTTTAAAATAACAGTAAATACTCGAAATTTTCACCAAATATTAATATATTTTATACACAATATTATTTCTTGAAATTTTTTTATTTAAAAATGTTATACAAGATATTTCATAAGTTGTCTTCCAGACTAATCAAAAATAGTAATAATAATAATATGCACATATGTTTTATAAATGTTTAAAAATCATAAAATAAATTTTGTGTTCATTTTAAATGTATTAAATATTAATTATAAATACTACTAATCAAATTATAAGTACCTGATATTGAATATTATTTTTCTTCTTATAATATTTGTTCACAATTTAAGACATAAATCTATTAAGTATAATTCACAATAATAAAAATATTAAACTATTTTGTATTCTTTGGACCCAGTTGAATTTATTACTCCAGTATGGCAATATCTATGTATAATTTAAAGTAAAGAAAGATAGTTTTGAATTAAGTACAAAATAATACGAGTAACTCTATAATATTGCTTCTACTTTATTTTTGATTATTAAGACTGTGACAGTAGCTTATGGATAAAACCACATTATCAGATAATTTTTAAAATGTATATTTCAAATTAAATATATTTAAAACATTTCTTGTTATTAGATATAAAAAATTATAATGAAAAAAAAATTAAATAAATAAAAAAAATCACTAATAAACAAAAGTAATTTCAGTCTTTACCGATCACAAATTTCAATCTACATAAAATACACATTGTCAAACTTTTATATCTGACCAATAACAAGTGATCATACCTAATTTTATCAATATTAAATGAAGATCATAGATAATCTAGTTTATTGTACACACTAAATATCTACTAATAAATTACAAATATGCATTAGAATAAAAAAACTAAAAATGTAAGTAACGTGCAAAATACATGAAATAAATTTGGTGTTATTTTAATAAGAATAATTTAAATTGTGCACATTTTTGTCAGCTTTAAAATAGCTTATTCTAAAAAGTATTTATTTATCTAAACATAAATTCATTCTCTAGTAACTTATAACTAAAATAAAATAAAACTAATCATTGATTAACAACATAATCGACTTAATTTTTTTTTTTTTTATTAAAATTAAGTTTAACAATACAAAATAATTTGACAATACCCAAAAAATAACATTGAAAAGAGGAGTTCAATACAACTATAGTTTTATATAATATAGTTACTTACAATATATTGATTAAAAAAAAAAAAAAATACATATTAAATACCTACCATTACATACAATTTTTTAATCTCTTTAAAAAAGTTCAAAGTGAGATGGGAGGCAATAATACAAATTATAGGTAATTTTGTTTACATCAGACTATAACATTATCAATATGATAAAAATAAAACATTTATTGTGGAATCAGTACAACAGTCTGATAAGAAAAAAAAATTGTGATACGTATAATATAGAAGTACATATCGAGTACATTCTAACATTTTAAGACGGTAAATTATAAATACAGATTAACGATAGTTTCATTTTTCAAGTTACTTTTAAAGTGATTAACTACAAAACAATTTTTAATGGATAATATACATTGTACGTTTTATATAATATGTGTAATTTGTTGAATAAGTGGACCCGTCTAAAAAAAACCTTATTAAAAAATAAAGTAAAAAAAACAATGATTATTATATCTGTAAATAACTAAACAAAAATGCATTTTTATTCCCAAACATGCTGAATATTCCTGGTTTAGTCAAAAGTAAGTTTGGAATTGCTTAATAATGACTTATTAGCAACTTTGAAAAAAGTCCTGAAATAAAATACAAAATAAAATAATTTCCATACGTGTGTAAAATTTTATTCAATTTTCTAAAATAGGTTATTAAAAAATATTTACTCGTGTGAATATTTTCGTTTAACAGCAGACAGATTTGAACTTTGAGTATGTAACATGTTGTTTAATTCAATTACCGTTTCGTTGATTGCTGTTACTTCATAATCTTAAAATAAATAATTAATATAACAGGATTCAATGCAAAGATAATTTTGATATTATCATATTATTAGTTAGTAAGATCTATTGACAATATTATTAAAATTAACCTAATAAAAGATTATTTTGAGTGACAAGATTAAAACACTCATAAATTTAAATAAATATCTATTATTTATATTTTATTGTATAAATAATAATAATAATAATAACACTTGTAAAATTGCATAATATTATTCTCAGATATTACTAGATCAATACTTGTTCAATAATGCTCTCTTATTAAAATATAAATATTACCTGTATATTTAAAGAATTCTTTTGTTTCAATCTCTTTATTACACATTTTAAATGCCAAGTATAAGGACGCTGCAGCTTTCAATGAATCTTTTAAAATCACAAATTTATATTCTAATAAACTGCATTCCAATATATATCTTGCTAATGTTAATAAAATCATTTGACATTTCATGCACTAAAAATTGAAGTGAAAATTAAAACATCAGTAGCAATGAATGATAACCAAACACTTACACGAGCATATCGCCTCAAAAATACATATGACAAAGGAACATTGATATCATACTTTAAAGCTCTAAATAATTCCCTTTCAGTAAGAAATAATTCTTCTTCTGTATAAATGTACTTGCTATGTTTGACTAAATCGTATGGGAAACCTGGCTCTCCCCTCTCCTATACAAGAACAAAGTTAATTAATTTGAATTAAATAATAAGTATTAGAAAGTGCTTTTTACTTACATCAATCTTAGTAGCTAATAATAATGCTCCAGAGGCCAAAAGTTGAAATTTATTTTGTAATGTTTCATTTTCCATTAAATATAGATCAATTAGTTTGACAGCCATGTACAATACTTCATGATTTAAACCATACATTTCTTGTAAGCTTACTAACCAATTAACAACAATTGCTCGATGTTTTGCAGTTATTTCGGGTTGTTTATTAATGTAATCAGTGATAATAAAGTGATCCTATGAAAGAATAAATTAATATATTGTTTAATTGCTTCAATAATTTATAGTGAAAACTTTAAAGTTACTTCTCTTTGCCTGAGATATTTCATAATATCTCTTGCATAACAACCCACATAAATGAAATTATTCCAACTGGCCTGATCTATTTCAAATATTTCCTCTTCATTACTATTGACACTCCTATAACAGAACAAGATTGATACAATATTAATAGAAATTTAAAAAAAGAAGAGTAATTATTAACATACAATTCTAGTGCAGCAGAATGATATAATTCTGAGTGGTTGATTTCAAGAGAGGAACTGTGAGTGTTATCAACAGCAGTTATATACAGTTCATCAGATTTTGCAGAATTTCTTGAAGCTACTGTTTCTTCAAGAGTTGATTTAAATAGATTACTATCTTCTGAACTATTTAAAGATAAACGTTCAGTTCTGAAATTAAAACAACAAATTTTTATTATAAATATAATTTAGATGTTTAGAAATTGTAAATATCTAAAATATATATTACTTCTTCATTATTGAATAATACAATTTTAAAAATAAAATAATACTAACTCTTTTATACTTGATCGAGTCTCTGGCTTTTTGATAATAGCAGGTTGGGTAATTTCTATTTTTTGTTGTGTTACCTTACATGTCTTATCAGTCTTTGTAGAATTATCATCTTTGACAATTTCTAATTTGTTAGACGTCTTGGCACCCTGAAAAATTTTAATTCAATCTTACAATAACAAGTATAAATAAATTACTAATATGTTTTATTTCTGTTATAAATAAATACAAATATTTTTAATTTCTTTTGCAAGAGTATTACATTACATACAACAAAACTAATAATAGAGATTTTTTTTTACTGTTTAATATGTGTTAAATAAACAATATAATTATTCTATTATATAATATAATTATACACAATATAATAGTATAATATATTTAAATAAAACTAATTATGAATTAATATTTGAAGTAAAATGACTTCAACTGAAATCAAGAGGCCATAAACTTAAAAAAATATATAATGTTAAAACAATATCCAATGTGGAAAAATTAATTGTTCCAATGAGTAAAGGTAATAATTTTAAGTATTATGTTTTTAATAAAGAATTTTTTACTATTATTAATGATACTTTTTTAACTATCAGTCGTGGTGGACAAAACCATAAAGTATGAGCATAAAAGAATATACAAAATAATTAACAAATTATGTAATAACAGGGAAGATTTAAAAATTATACACAGAAAACTGAGACATTTACAAGTTCAAGGTATTGTTAAAAGGCCAACCAAAATGTGAAAAATATACTTGCTACTTGGTTACTAGTCAATCAAGCTAAAAATTGAAAAACTAGAATTTGTCCAGTTAATGAAAAATTGATCCTTACACTATGGAACAAAATACAACCTATATAAAGCAATGTTTGGATGTTATGTTAAAATTGAATTAAAATCATTAGTACTTTTAATATCAATAATTATTAAATTAAAAACTGAAGATATAGAAGTGGCTATTACATACATGAATACTGGAAATCATTGTGAAGTTGATGAAATATTGATTGAAGAAAAAATAAATAATAGAATAAATAAAATAACTGCTGTAAGAACAGTCAGTCATTAATTTAAAAATTCAAGCACATTGAATAAAAAATCAGCTAAAAAAAGATTTTACGAAGGAAAAATTGGTGAAACTATCAAAATCAAAATACCTGATGAAGACAGGGATTTTTGTTGTATTTTTGGAGTTATCCTATCAGGTAAAACACAAATTTTACCATAAATTTAAATACAATACATATAATTTTAATTTATTATTTTAGTTCATGATAAATGATAATAATTATAAGATATATACCATCGAAGGAAAGTTGGAACACATATATAGTCATAACCAGTTTACTAGGTGCAAAGAAAAATTGGTTAGTTTAGAGAATGTTCCTGACCTAACTATTATATTGAGAGAAGTAGCAAAAAAATTTGCAAATTTAGGAGAACAAGGTTATAATAAATGTAAATATTTCCTAACAATGTTCAAATAAAAAATATAGATGTAAGGTGGCAAGAAAAAATGCAACTCAAAATTTCATTCCAATAATTGTAAAAATAAATAGTTAAAATAATAATATTCAACTTATAAAGTAATAATAAGATTAAACAGGTTTAAATCATAAAATGAAAACTTTTGGCTTATATTTCCTAAGCTAGACTAGACAATTCTATACACCCTAGGTAGTGTACTAATGTATATTTTTGCAAACATTGCCCATTATAATCCGTCAGTACTATAATGACTGGGCAGCAATGTTTACATTGCTTGTAACATAATATATTTATAGAAATCATAATTTAAAATACTAAATGTTAATATTTTTTTCTCATTAAGTAACAGATAACTTAAGGTACAATAATAATTATTATTTTGAATTACCATAAGGTCATATGACTTTTTTAATAGCGATCAATATTTAAACTAGTACCATAAAAAAATTGAACCTAACAGTAAACACATGGATTATTATTTATTTTATATTAATTAACTATTTATTTAAATTTAAATGTTTTATACCTCAAAAAATATATTTTAATTGTTTTTAAAATTGTTATATTTAAATAATAATTTTTTAACTGTTTAAAATTAATAAGGTATTATTATTATTTTTAATTTCTAATTGTATCGATTTTCCTTTAATATTGGTTCTTAATTTTTACCAAAACTGTTGTTTTAAAATTTATCAAATATTGATCTTATAATAGTTAAGTTACTTAAAATGTTTGTTTATTAATTTATGAAATAATGAATATTTTTTAACTATCTTTTTTAAAAACGGTTTATAAAAATATTAACAACACTTATTTAATTAGAAGTTAATTGTTTTCTTTATAACTTTTTTATCTTTTTTAATGAACAAATTAAGATTATCAGAATCATGATTTACAATGTAGTTACATTTTAATTAAATCAACTACATAAGCTATACATTTTAATTCATAAAAAAGTTAATATTATTTAATTTTTTATGAATAAAAAAAATACATTTAATGATCACAAACTCTTATTTTAAAACAAACCTGTTCATAATTTTTATAATTTATAGTTCAAGTATACTATGAATTATAGTTATAAATATATAAATTAAATTATGATTTTTAAATGTATGAATAATGAGATAAAAGACAAAATAAAAAACTACTTACATTATTTGATACAAGATCTAACAAAGCAGCTCTTCTATCTAATGGACGATTCTCTTTAGAATAAGGTTCGGTTTTCAAACCAGTTTTTTTTAACTGATGTCGAGTGACAGGTGGCATTCTAAAATAAAATTTTAAAAACATAACATAAAATACAATTAGTCAAGTTGTTATTTAAGAATTATCAAAATACAAAAGTTTTGATACTAGGAATAATAATTATATTTTCTATATTGATAAATTTGTAGATATAATTTATTAGCTTATTTATTAATAATGCATTAAATCACATTTAATCACTAATTTATTTTAACCATAATAAATTAATATTTAAATAGATGTATACCAATTCTTTTTAGTAATAAATATTTAGATTGTTTTAGACTGTCTAAGCTGTTAACCTAACCTAACCATCATTATTAAATAAAAGTATTACTAGGATTTAAAGCACAATAAATATAAAAACGTGAAATTGTTTGAAAAAAGCAATAATAATAAAAAATAAATAAAAAGTAATGACCAAAAATTAGATACAAAATTAAACAAAAAAAATTTAAAAACAAAATTAACAATCATGTATTCAACCAGATTCAGTAGTGAAACTATATTTATTATCAGACAAAATGTTTTTATACATCAAAATCAAACACATTACATCTACTGATGTGATCAATGCATATTATACTGTATACAAGTTGTCAAACTGTTAGATTGAGAACTGAACCTACTAACAATAGGCTACAGTAATATATAACTAAGAAGCATATTTTTACATTTCTTATTAATTAAAAATCTTTTTTATTGTAGCACAATATTAAGTACTACAGTTGGAATAATTACAAAAAGGTATAAAAAATATTAACATCAAAAAAAGCCTAAAAAGTAAAAAAAAAAAGATTTATTTAGATTTAGAATGATATGAAACACATTTATGCATAAAAATTGGATGTCTACCTCACGTATAAAAAAAGAAGCATTTGCTTTAAAATCTGAGCCCTAGATATAAGAATAAAATAATCCATAAATTAATTTATTAACATTAGGTACAATATGTACATTTTACATAGTGTGAAATGTTTTATTTTTTAAATTGTTAAATTAATATGATCAATAAATAAATAAATTTCCCTATATCTGATATTAACATAGCTATGCTATCGGAATGTCTGTTGTTATTTTGTGAAGCCTCTATATACTAGTTAATTTCTAAATGAATTTCTAAAACTTGAATAATGCCTAAGTAATTAAATAGGAAAGATTTGAATAATTATTAATTATTAACATGATAAAAAAGGTATTAAGTTCAAACTATTTTGTTTTAATATTCAGAAATAACAGTGGGACTATAATAATAATTGAAGTAAAAAATATTAAATCCAATAATTTTAGATAAAATAAATTATTATTTTGTATGACTTTTTTTTACAAACATTTTAAAAAGTAAATTAAACTATAAAACTTTAAATATATTAAACCATTGACAATAGTAAACCAACTTAATTATTGCTTCATATAATAATATACATATTAACACTAAGAAATATAAAAATAAGATACGTCATGGTGATTCAAAATAATAAATATAATAATAATCATAATGTTTATACTCATAAATGATCATAATAATATTTATACTATTTTATGGTTAGGTAGTATTTACATAAAACAGTAATAGATAGGTAGTATAGAATGAATATTTATACTAAGAGTTTATGATATTTTTCCAAGTACAAATGCTATATTTTATGTCGGCACGTTCCACTAATTAAAATACTGAGTTATCATAAGAATGCTTTGTTTACATATCAAGAATAATAATCTGGATGATTCAATAATCATACAATGAACATTTAGCTTTATATAAAAATTTGAAATATAACCAAAATATAATAATATATTTTACTTGGAAGTTCAAACAATTTTGTGCTTTGACACATAATATTATGTTAATTACAAAGAAACAGTCAAAATAGTTAATTGCATTATAACAAACATATTATTGAAAATAATAGAAAAAACAGTTTACAATGAAATGTTCATTGGTAATGTCATAAAAACAAAACACTTAACAAATAAAAGTTACTAAAACAGCAATGAACAAGACAGTATAAACTGCAGAGTAGACTTACCTGATAATGGACAAGCGAACTGATGTTCACGCTTGCGATTATATTAAATAACGAAAATAATAATTATGATGATGTTATGATAATAACTAACAGAGATTTATTTATAAGACAGTATTTTGTCCACACTCTACGCACGTTTACCAAACAATCGAATGGAACCAAACGACGAACACCGATCAGACCATATTATCACTAAAAGAAATAACCATAAACCAATTAGTAATTATTAGTAATAATACGGAAAAAAATATAATAACCGTTACGCGTTATCAAAGTACGAAACCGTGTTGTTCAGGCATAAATATTATGACGTCATATTGTATATTGATAAGACTGACGGGTTCAAACCATATAGGTAGTACTCTATGGTTCAAGCAAACTGTTATCAGTTATCACAGTTCAGTGCATAACAAATACTTAGGTAAAACAAATTCATTATTTTTGTGTTTGTATCTACTATCATTAACTATTAAAAAGAATAAAAAGTCAGAACATGTTCTTTACAAGTTTTTACACACTTGCCGACCAAAAATATGAAGCTAAACTCTTTTTTCGTCAATTCAAACGATTTGTAGTATTTTGTACTTTTTTACTACACATATTATGTACAAATCATTTGGTTAAGTATTATTAATAATATGTTTTACCTTTTACCATTACAATTTTTATGTAGAAGTAAGTACTATTTTCCCTGCATTTAATTCTGTTTTACCTAATCTGTATGTTTCCTTTATATGTATTGATGTATGTTTATTTGTTGTGGTTTTTCATTTATTGAGCCATCTACTTGCTCATGGTTTTGTTTTGGTTCTCTGTGTACCAATTAATTGTCACTAATTTTTATTTGAAAATTTTTCTTAAGGTCAGTAGAAATTACTTTTTATTAGATAATTTGCTGATGTTTGAAAACAATTTTATTACAGTAAAAAAATATGATTTTGAATAGCTTCATTAAGCTTTTGTGCATCATTAATTTTATTGAAGACAAACATATTTTCCAAAGTAGAGCATTCTTTTGAATATAGTTATGTCACAAGCTGGATTTTATTTGAAATTCTAAATACTTGACCAAATTCGAGGTCAAATTTACATGGCAAAGATTTCATCTGCAATTCTTATGTGAACTACAAAAGTTTGTTACTTTTAAAATAAATTATGATCCAAATTAGTCATTAAATATTGATATTTTAATAAATTTTCATAATATAATTATAAAAGATTGATAAATAATAATCATATAATAAAAATTACATGTTCATTGTAAAAATGATATAATATTTTTAAAAGTGTTAATTTGTATTACCTTATATACATAATAAATAATGATCATTATAACATCTAATATTATTATATTATTTAATATTTAATATTATCTTATAATTTTGGAAAGTACTGTATTCATTTATTTAATGCACATAATTACACGAAAACACTAATTAATGTTAATAAAATATTATCAACTGTGGATTCGCTAGTTTTAAATCTGGGTAAGCTAAATTTAATCTTAATTTTAAGAAAAAACATAAAAATTTGATCTTTTAAGCCAAAATTTTCAATATTCCATTTATTATGACAATTAAAAGAACTGTAGCATAAATCAAAAATAATATCAAGCATAGATATACTAATATTATAGTCTACTCAAATAATTTGTCAATTGTTATCCAATTTAAGGAAATGAAAACTATAAGGACAATTTTTGAGAAAAGATTTTTCTTTTTTTAAACCTACTATTTATTTTTGAAGAAAATGTATTTCTATTTGATGATGTGTGCTATGAATAATATTAGCTTATGTTTCAGTACTATTTTATTAATTTTTTTAGAATATGTATTAGCTCGCTTGTTGATTAAAAAGTTTTAAATTGAAAATAAAATTATGCTTTAACTTTTAATCAACTAACATGAAGTACGAAATGCTGCAAATTGTTTGTATTGACAAAAAAAAAGGTTTATCTTCAAATTTTCGTTCAGTTTAAATATAAAATTTATAATAAACAAACATATTTTTAATGGTTAACACTTTAAGAAAAAAATACTAACACCAAAAAAACAAATTAATAATTTTTTACTTGTGTATTTCTTAGTTCTTAAGGAATCAAAATGTGATAACATTTTGTTTTAAACTGTCAGTCTTATCAATGTTAATGTCATACTATTTTATGCTTAATTAAAATTGGAAATGCTCAGTGCTCACTGGATAACATATTATAATTTTATAAATATATCTATCATATACGATTGCTAAAGAGTAAAGATTCATAGAAAATTGCGAGATCTTGTTGAATAGGTACCTATATTATGTTTGTGGTAACATTATAAAATTATCAAATATCAATATTCATTAGACATTCTAGTAATTTGATATTTATTTAGTAAAATGACTAAAATATCGTCTTTTAATTATAATTTAAATATGAAATTATCTAAAGATTATTTTTCAAAAATTTGATGCAAAATTTTATAGGTAGGTTCGATATAGGTACCAGACATGAGCTCTAAAAATGGACACCGTTTTTAAAGTTCATGCTCACTATTAACATTTTACTTTCTTTCTATTTTCTATGATCTTTTGAAGTACTTAGCTAGGTATGTCAGGCTATGTATTTGATGCATACAAGCACAATACTTATATTATTACAAAATAACTTATGTCTGAAATGTCTGAACTAAAAGTTTGATTGTAACTTAATAGTAGTTAATTAATTTAATTTTAATAATACTGAATACAATAATATTATCATAGAGCTATTAAATGCTGAGTTCTAATTATTATTATCTTGGTGACTGGGACCTAAACCTAATTATAATTGCTGGATATCCTTTTTACAAAATGTTCTTAAGAGAACGCCACATTTGTACACTGTTATTTCACTCAAAATTGATTAGATTTGATTATAGCCGATTATAAGTCTTTAAATCTATAATATTAGTTAAAGTTAAGAAAACACAAATAGTATAACATAAATGAGTCATCTTAATTTATATTTCATATGATTATGATTAAAAATTCTTATAGATTAGGCACAGAGTATATTTTATTCTACGGGTTAGGGTACTTACCAACAACATGACAAAACAAATTGTAAAAATGTATATTTTTTCATGGATTATCTATTAAATTATAGTGAGAATAATTCTAATTAAAAAAAGTGTTAATGGAAAAACTGGTTACGATTTGTGTCAAATAAAGAAGATGTCAGCAAGTTGAGTATTTAGGTTGAGCTCATCAAATACTTCCAAGTTGGGGCTGCAATATAAGTACCTACATTTATTATAACATTGAAAAAAAAAACAAAAATTATCCTTTTTTTAGTCAAATAAAGACTCAAGAAGTTCATTTTTAAGTAAACAATGTTATTGTTATAAATTAATATTTCATGTATTTGTTACACAAAATTTATTTTTAAAGGCTGGGCAACAATAATATTTGATGAGAGCAGTTGTTAACTCTAATAATAAGAACTATCACTACGGTCAGCTTGTGATGTCCCAAAACTGAAATACTATGCAGGAGATAGAGTACTATATATTTTAAACAGAGTCTAAGTTTTTGCAACAGTACATAAATACCTATATGAGATAACTAAAGCAAACAATCTATAAGTTATCTCAACTAGATCAGCTTCTGGATCTTCAGTATTGTTTGTGATTTTTCTTTATATATTACAAAATATAATGTATGACATGCCAAAGTTCTAACAATAATTTCTTAAATATACAATTTGAACTGTATCTGCTAAAATGTTTGTCATTAAAACATCATTAAATAATTAATTAAAAAGAACTTTTTCAAAATAACAAAATAAATAATCATAAAAACCAAAAAATCAGTAATAAGTTGTATTCTAATTCAGTGGATTAGTGTTAACACACTTGCTGGTAAAATACTGTGAAAAATATACAAATATTATTGAAGATTTATGAATTATATTAGTAAAACTAATATTTCAACAAATCATTATCAATAACAAATAACACCTGTCATCAAAATATAGACGTAATATTTTCAGCTAGATTTTATTTTTATATTTAAATAGAATACAATACAAGTATGATGTTAATAATAATTACAATTACATTAAAATAATGATATATAAATTATTTAGCATAAAATAACATAATCCAAATAATAAGTATGAACAAAAGATGCGTAAAAAATAATATAATAAATATAATGTCTATTGATATCTTTTGTCAGTAAATAAGTTTAAGAAATCATATATATATATAATTTTTTTTTATTTATTTGATAATATATAATATAATTTAATTAATGAACTTAGGTTATCTGGAATAGACATAAATTTCATAAATGTTAGATTGAAGAATATTTTAATCCCTTTTTGTTTTTGTTTTGTTTTACTTAAAATAGAAGATTATGGTCATCAACAATAGCAATAATATGAAATTATTATTATTATTATTCAACATCATTGTACAAGTGTACACTTGTAAATAGAATCATTTTCTTCGTATTATAAGATTCAACAAGTACATTTAATACATAAAAAATAAAGTGGTATAAAACTACAATAATTATTTACCATAGTATAAAATAATTTTTTTTTTAACATTTAAAATGACCAATATTCTAATGATATAACTTATTATCTTTTAAACAGGTCCATCGATAGAGCTGACTTTAATTCGGCAATAATATATACATTTCCAAAGTGCTAATAGTGTTAAAATGAGGATTCCTGTGGAACAATAAAATATGCCAACATTATAAGAACAGAAATATATTTTAATTAATTTAATTTCAATACTAACCAATATGAATAATGAAATAACCACCGTGAGCCTTTGCATTTGAGTACGTGAAGAATACAACACCCCCACCAATAATAAACAATATAACAGATAAAATGAGAAAAAATATGGCTTTTGCTTTGGCAAATTCGGGGCCAACAGAAGACCTATAATTAAGTGTAATAAATATTTTAATTAATGCAATATTAGTTTTATTTTTTAGAAAAAAAAACAAGAGGATACTTACACTTTACGGCAATGTGGACATCTAGCCAATGCGTTTTGTAACATGTTAAACTGAAATATAATTTGAATAATAATTAATAAAGTTTAAATATTTAAAACAGCATTTCCCAAACTGTGGTTGACAAAATGTATATTGAAAATACTATATTAAATTATTTAATATTGTTTTTATTTTTATTAAGGGGTCCACATCATTTTTTTTATCTCTTAAGAGATCTGGCAAAGAAAAAATTTGGGAAACACTGATATAAAATATTAGATTACTTTTTCTTATTTAATACAAATAAGAAATATCAACATGAATATTATTTTAGATAAAGTTTAACCAAGAAAAAGTGTTATTGACCTGTAAAACCAAAGTTATTTTTATTTTGGTGATTATTAAGGTCATTAATTCCATGAGCTCAATTGAATTCAAATGAGTAATTATTGTTTATTAATTTACTCATTCTTTAGTATTTTTTTTAAATAATAATTAAGTAACTCTATAAAATTAATAAAAAATCATTTATTCTTGTACTCCAAATCAATAGTTTACATTTTTGTATATAAAAATGATGTATTATTTGTTAGAAGGTGAGGGTTATTTTTGAAATATCTTTACTATAATAAATAATATATATATCCAAATAATTGAGTAAACAAACTTTTGAACAATATAAAATAGTTGAAATGACCAATAATACCTTTCTTTGAATTTTTCAATATTATACTTCTCCTAGGTTAAATTAGTTCAAAAATAATTTAAATAATAATAAGTTATATAATTTAAAAATAAAGTTCCATTATTATAAAAAAAACAAGTATTTGACTACCTATTAAAATGTTAATACTATAATTCAAAAAATTGTTATATTAAATTAACAATAAAGTATTTATAATTAATACCTACACTTATCACTTAATAATTTATAATTTACTCAAAATAATTTTTAGCTAAGAATATTGATAGAATAGTCATGAAATTATTTAAATATTTTTAATACTTACAAGGAATGTATCCTGGCAGTGCACACAAGTAACACGACACATGCCCGGAACTTGAGGAATCGGCGGTGTTACTGGACTTGGTGCCAAATTAATAACTCTTTTACAGTTTATACGAGGACAAGCAATACGTTGTGATGTACTTTTGCAAATCAAAAGACAATGACACAAACAGCGTACATATTTTTTGCCTGCTGGAGCACTTCTTATTGGCTAAAATTTGTAATTGTAATTTAATAACTATGCAATGTTGATTAAAATGAACATTACAACATTAAACATTAATATAATATACAAAATACATAATGTATATTCTAACTTTAAAATTAACAAAATCATTTTAATTTTACTCACAGTAGCTTCATTGCAACGATTACATTTTACAACATGTTGTTCTCTTTTACCGATAACATCAATCATTTCTTGACAAACTCTACATGTCACTTTAGAAGCAGCATTTTCAGGCCCCATCTCAGGAACTGTAAATTCTGAATTTTCATTTGGTACATTAGTGGGAAATGTATTGGAACCAATAATAGATGATGAAGGAGAATCTAAAAATATTATAATTGATTGTACATTGTGCATGAAAATTATGCATACATTTCAATAATAACTTAATGTATATAATATATATAAATATAAATTAAAAAACTTAAAAAAATATTTTAGTAGGTAATTTAAATCCTAACCACTAAAAAAGAACACTATTATTTTAAAACATGTAAAACAATACTTTATTCATATTAAGAAGGAACCTTGGCAACCGAAGTGTGTCCTTATGACCAGCAGGTAAATGTCATTGACTAGGTGGAAGATGAACTGATGTAGTTAGTTTGACATAAGATGTAAACTAGTTTCTGCCGAGGTTCCTTCTTAAAATGAGCGGAGTTGTGTGTAATTAGGCATTTAAAACTTCTTTAAGTGGAGAATGTTCAAAAAATTAATAAATATGAAGATCAGTTAATAAATATAAAATATTTTATTATATACCCACAAAATATTGAAATTTATTCAAAAATATTTACAATTTTAAATTATTAAAGTAAAATAAAACATAATTATTTAACTAGGTATTAATAAGTAAAATACTAACCATTAAAATATTTTAATACCTATATTTGTAAAGCTTGATAAATTTATTTAGTTACAAAAACACAAAAATAATTTAAGATAAATATTAGGTAGTGGAATTTAATTGCATAGTATAAGACAATTATATTGTAATTTAATATTTATTTCTTTATTGAACTTTACACTTTAACATTTAGTTTACTAGTCTTAACTATTTTATAATAAAATATCCCTAAATGTATATTCACTTTATTAATAAGAAAACAAAAATAAATGCACACACTATTATCTAGGACTTGGATTTATAAGTAAATATTTTTTTTTATAAAATTCAACTAAAAAACTTAGAAAAATGTAAAATTATTTCATAAGATTCATAAAAAAATTAGTTTACTTTTATTTTTACAAATTTCTTCAACTATACATGTTCTATATTAAATATTTTCCACAATTATTTTAAATTAAATTAATACCATTTTCATAGATATGTGTTCTATAATCTAGAATCCTAAATACTATATTATGATGAAATTTAAATGACAATTTAAGTATTTCACTCATTAATGGATGACATGGGTAACGGTCCAATAGCGTCCTACAAATATTACTCGACCTACTGATAAGATTATGTTGATCTACATGTTTCTTTATCACAGTTATTATCATTTAGTACTTATTATTAGAACGGTGATTTTTTATCGTAGGAAAACGGGACCGAGAAACTCTTTAACAAATTATTAAAAATGAAATAAAACAGAAACGACAATTCATAATGACCAATGGAGAGCATACTCAACATTAAATCAACATGGATATATTCATCAAACAGTTAACCATTCAGAATTTTTTATAGACCTGGAAACAGGAGCATACACTCAATAAACTGAAGGCTTATGGAGAATTATAAAATCCAAATATAATATTAAAAAGAATGGGGCATCTCCTTTACTAGATAAACAACTCCGAGAAAAGTGGTGGAGATCGTGTCAAAATCCAAAAACCATTTTTGATAACTTTTTGACCGATATAAAAAATACGTTTTATAACAATATAAACTGAAATATTACAGTTATAGACGACACTGATAAGTGTCATAAAAAAAAGGTTATTTAAAATTATTTGTATTTTACATTTATGGTGTAGGTCGCGTATTAGACCGTTACCGATGAAATGTCTAATATATGGACTTAATTTTAATAAATTAATTTTTAGAACTCAATATTTAAATATTGTGATTAAAATCACAATTTCCAAAGAAACCACATTTAACAATTTACAGTAACAAAGAATTTAATTTCTCATCAAGGAAAGTATATGTTGCCATGGAACATTGTTTAAATCATATAAAAATCTAGGTACTTATCTAAAAATTTAGTTTTTAAGTACGCTAAAAAAATTAAAAATGTAATGCATGATATTTGTTTAGAAGTAAACAAAAAATACCTTGAAAGTAGATTTACATTCACTAAATGTGTGTCTTTGTTATATAAGTTCAGAATTTAAAAAAACTATTATCTTAATATAATGAAATTATGCAGAGAATTGAATGTATAATGAAAAATAATTATGAACAAAAAGTATTTAAGAGTACTTACAATGTTAATACAACTAGTAGTGTGGTACCTAAAAAGGACTAATAGTCTTGAATCAATTATGATGAAATCTAATATAAAGAATAAGGACAAAAGTAACTAGAAAAAAACTTTTCGACGCTACAAATACAACTACAACCATACATTGATCTGTTGCAAGACGACTAGATTATACAGGTACACTACATACACATGATATATTAATATACAGTCATTATAACCTTTGAGGTTTTAGTACACTTAAGACATGTAGAAAACAACAGAGTATCTGAAAAAAACAAATAACATCATATGTGTTTACCTGCTTCCGACGCTTTTTGGGCGATCAAATCGCTGTTGTCCAACAGCGGTTTAGTGTCCGGCATTTTTTTTTTTTTTACGATCGACAATCAACAACGAAATAAATACAATACAAAAGCTATTGTTATTACTTCTATTATACAACTGCGTCGACAAGAGTGACAGACGCGGTCGACGGGGGAAACGCGGCCGCAAACGAGAACGGCCTACGGAATACTAAAGTAGAATAGCAACTAAGTCAAAAAAAGAACTTCCGTCTAGCACTCTAGCGTATACGGCGGGCGGCGGCAGCGTTCCGAGCTCCGTTGTCGTGTTTCAGCTAGTTTTTATTTTTTGTTATCACTTCACATTTGTCCGTCGTGCGGTGTCGGTGTGTGGCTGGTCGGCGCAAAGACCCAAAACACAATAATAATAAAATATTGATAACGCGTTGTGCGATCAATATGGCGAATGATCTTCGTCGTCGTCGTCACCGTGTGTGACGCACCACGCACGGGCACAACAGTACAACAATGAGATACAAATAATAATTTATACAACAATTAAGTTGATATTTGTATCGATAGTTGAATTGAGCGTAATTTGATTAGGTACGACTTTTCGAGCGCTGGCGATAGCCGATCGGGTCAAAGAATTGCACCGACGAGTGACACGAAATCGAAAGTATTGACTACTGTCTGTGATAAAATTGACACGAAAATATTGATAGAAATACCGTCGGCGTGATAGAACGACCGCGCTTCGAATTTTCGAAAATGATACAAAATTATATTTTATTAGATAAAATAATAGACACTAAGGACGACGACTGGAATGTTAATAATTTTATAATTTTACGAGTGACGGCTAATGGCTATAAGCCTATAAGGCGATAATAAATTCTGTAATTAACGCCTATTGGTAACCGCGAGATGTTGACGACGACAGCACGACACTAACGTCAAAATAAACACGATTCTTTTATGAGAAAAAAATATATAATAATGTTTATTGCCGGATATCGGAGGCGTGAAGTAATATCGTTTCAGATCGGCACGAAGATTATTAATGAATAATAATTCGACAGAGATTATTATTATTATTAGTTTTTTTTTTTTTTTACTCTTTCTTATCTGTCAATTACTGATAGTCTACGTCGTATTATAGTAATAATCGTCATAATTTTAATTCACTGATCACTGGTGACGACGTCGTGGGTTTTCCTTATCAACCGGTCGAAAGTCGAAACCCACGAAATATTATGTTATTTTCATCGACGTCGTCATTAATTTAGACTCGGAAAATCTGGACGGAGCGATGAATGTATTGATTTTACGATTTGTTAAAATAATTTACTTTTATTTTTATTTGTGGATGGAGAATTGCCGATAAAATGATTTAATATTGGGTAATAAAGTGGGTCTACTTGGTACTTTAATCTTTAGAGAGGTCAAAGTTAAATTTTCCAGTACTCATTTTTATACCTGAAAAAAACGAGAATTGTTAACAAATTCGATTTGATTTTAATATGTAACTCGAAGTTCAACGAATAACTGTAAATACCTACTTGAAAGTTTTACCAAATATTTATTTTATCGTTTTTATTTGCGATAAAATTTTGATTTTTTTTGAGCTATTCAAAGGCATAAGAAATTTTCAATAAATGTCAATAAAAAATTAAACGCTTGGTCAAGATTCTTGAAAATTTAATATAAGATCCCACAAAAATTATTTTCGGATTTGTATAAAAATATTATTAATATAAGATATTAAATATTTAGGCACAATTATGTATTTAAAGATAGAATTTTGATGAAATTTGTCAAAATTCAAACTATTTTATAGTCAAAATTCATAAAAACTTTTTTGTGACGAGTTTTGAAAATTTAATACAAAATTCTTAATTAGTAGTTCATACTTCATACTCAAACCATTAAATCTAAAAAATGTATAAAAACAATTATTTTTTATGGACATTTTAAATTCCAATTAGGACATGGTATTACTTATTTTAACAATAAATAAAGATAAGTTAATTATTTTGTTATAATTTAAAAATATTATTCATGAGATCTTAGATTGTTCAATTTTTGTATTTTAAATTATAAAATTTACCTCACACAATAACATTTTTAACTTATTTTAAAACATATCTATTTATACTTTGAATTTATTTTTGCTGTTTACGGTATTTATAAAAAGATGTTTTTAAATTCAAAATTGTGTGTATAGTGTATATAGTTTATAAGTTGATTCAATGTGGTATAAATTTATATTATTTTAATAATTAAATACTGATATTATAATAAACGCAATATTCTCGGAAAAAATGTTATCAATCTTACCATATTACTAAAAGTAAAATAAGTCACTAAAAGCTATATGAAAAAATTATATCACAAAAATACGAAATATACTTAGTGTTATACTTACTGATATAAGCTGACAGACCGTCTGCGCTCAGAGTCAGAATCGTTTTTCGTACTTATATAATAATACATCCACAATATATCTATCAGTAATATATCATTGAATTCAAATTTAACATGTCCATAAGTCACTCGTCATCTAATGTACAGTAGTGCGGTACCCATCAGTTCCTAACTTTTTTTATATTTTTAATTAATAATTATTTTGATCAGTAGGTAATCTCTATTCAATAGTAGACAGTACCGAGTCACTATCGTTATTCGTTACCAATGTTAAAAAAACACTTCAGTGGTTTTAGAAAAAATAATCAGGAGTGAGGAGATAGTAGGCGGAAAAACACATGATAAAGTAGATAGTTAAAGTTTGACAAACTCTGGTACCTATGTACTATAATACGTCATATTTATATACCGAGTGACCATAAGTCGCGCAACAAAACAACGTGGAAGGGAGAAACTGCACAGTAACGCGCGTTGAGACGATGGGTAGTTGCGCGATTTTTAGTCACTCTGTATATACCAAAACAGTAGCCAACAAAATATCGGGATGGGGAGTTGGGGTATAAAAAGTATAAAACTATGTACACCGTACACGTTACAAATATAATAAGCATTTAAAACTATTCAATCTTATTTCAAAATTTTTTTTTTTTTTTTTTAGGGGGGGAGTCTAAATCCTAAATTTCCTTTGGCTACGACGGTCTTGTATATATATATGTATGTGTGTATGTGTAATATGTATTGAATGTAAAAGAAAGTTTAAACTGAATATAATCATAACTCTATGAAAAATATCATCAATCTGATAAATCATACATTCCATTATTTCAGTATTTATTTTAAATTCTGAGTGGAGTGATGATTTATTGATTTTACAATGATGTGTTATTTTATAATTTTTATTTTTATATGTTTTAATGTGACTTATTTGTACTACATGTTTTATAGTAGAAGAAAATACTTCAATCCTCAACTATGTCTTGTGAGAGTGTTTTCTGAAACACCAAAAAACCTAAAACCGACTGATAACTGGAAAAGGTTGTATTTGATTTTATAAAAATAACTTTTGAGTATAACATGAACAGTCTTAATTTATACTTCAGCAATTTATACTTTATTAAACCATAAAACATTAACTTATAAAATAATTTATTTGTATATGAATGTAGAATACAACTTTTAAATTATTAAATAACACAAATTATCATTGCAAAATTATATAATTACTAGTTTGATATAATCTTGTGGTTTTTAAAAAATAACGTTTTAGCCAGGAATCATATTTTATTGTTTAATTATCATCAAAAAATCATTTTTCACTTGAAATTGATAAATAATCTAAACATATGGTTGAATAAACAAAGCAAAAATAGACAAAAAAAAAAAAAAAAAATTACATAACTTAAAAAAAAATAATAATTTAAAGACAAATGTTACAAAACGATAGAATAGATGAAGAAGTAAACCAATTATAGACCTTTTCTATTAGTTAACTATAATATGAATTAATAATAAAACTTAAAACATTATTTTAATCACATTATGGGATACTTAGTTATTTGCTTACAGAAATTACATGGAATTGCTACCAAATTTCTCCAACCTTTTTAATCTAATAATACGCTGCTGTTCAGTTTCTTCTGGGAGCAATTGATCTTCACTGCCACTGTTGCTGCTAAATATTTCAAATATTGTTAAAATAATTAAATTATTTACTCAGTTGTTTTGTAATTCTGTAAATTTTAAATAAATGTAGATAAATGGGTACTAAGAACAATTAATATTAGTTTACAACAAAATATTTTTGTTTATTATTTCAATATTAACTTTAAATACCGATTTTTAAACTTTGCCATCTAATATAAAACTATATAAACATTTTATTCATTGTACCACACATTTAATTTTCATCCAATGCATAGAATTAATGTTAAACATTGATATGATACTAAAACTTAGTATTTGGCAATATTTATTTAAGTTTTGTTATTTGATTTAATTTAAGTATTCTATAAGATAGAAGACTGTAAAAATAACATAAATAAATGGATTTAAAATCTAAATTTTCTTTTAAACCTGAAGATATGCAAAAGGCTGTTGACACAATAAAAATAAAAAATTGAATATATTTAATATGCATGATTATGATATTAAGTTCCTAGGTGTACACGAAAAAAAAAGTATAACTGCTGAAAAAATTAAATTCAATGTGAATGAAATTGTTTGTTGAAATATTTATTATTTTAATAATTGTTGACACAATACAGTACTCCCTCGTTAACACAAACTCAACGGGACCGCAAAATGACCGGTTTGTGTTAAAAAAATTTGTGTAAATCGATACGTTTAACACAAATTTGTTTTCGTAAAACGATTTATACTTACACGAACGAATTTGAGTTATCAGAGTAGTTTAAATCAAATACACCTATTAAAGTACAATAGTACTTATAATGTACAATAAATAATAATATAATAGTACAAATTATTACATTATTTTTCATATGGTTTAATCCAACACTAATATTAATAAAATTAGTTCCTACCGTAGTAACAACAAAAATTATAACAAGAAATATAAACATAAAATTTCGTTAAATTGTAGAAACATACTTTCCAATCATTCATATATATATATTACATTTTTTTATTTTATTTTATTTTATTTTATTTTATTACTTTTATTTATTTAAATTATCAATTACACGTAAATATTAAATACATACTAAATTTCATCATGCATACAAAAAATATATAAAAATTATTATTGTACATTGCATTTAAACTAAAAAAATAACTAACAAAATCAATTTAAAACTGATCGATAGAAAAATTAAATTGAATGAGAGCGATTAGTACTAAACCAGATTACACAAATATGATGTTTATAATAAGTAGGTAATAAAAGGGATAAGATAAGGCAACGATAAAACTACTTACATAGCTGTATTAAAGATTACAATAAGATATACGAGTAATAAAATAAAATTAGAAAATGGAATTTTTCTGTTAATGCTGATCAAAAAAATGACATTATGGTTTGTAAATTTTGTTCGAGTTTTGTGTTAACCAAAAAATTTGTGTAAACCGAGAAAATAAAAAAAGCCTGTCTTAAAGTATATGTATTTTTTGGGACTGAAAAATTGATTCATGTTATCTAATTATTTGTGTTAACAAGGGAGTACTGTAATCAATTTTTTATAATATATAAATGTATGATATTATAATAAATATAAATTAACATTACAGATGGCATATACTCCCTAACCTTTAACATGCTTAGGGCAGTAGCGAGAGGTCAAGGCATATATCAATAAAAATTGATTATAAAATTAACTTTTTTATATAAATTTTAGTAACATTTGAAATTTATAAATTAAATTTTGTAGGGTTTAAGAGTTCAATTAAAAAAAAATTGAAAATGTTGTCTTCTAGTAACCAATTAACTAATTCAAACTATATGTTTTAAGAATTTATATTCTATTACTTGTCTAGTTAGTACAATTAGCATAAGATAGGACTATTTCTGAAGAAAATAACTGGAATCAAATTTCTTTAGTTTTTTTCTAAATGTCATACACTTTTTTTAATGTTTAATCTAAAGAAAAAATAGTTAAATCACAATAATACTCATCACAATAATAAACATTATTATATAAATAAAACAAAAAATGAAATTATGAAGTTTAATAAAAAAATATACAAAGTTGCCAATACTTTAGGTCATTGTTAAAAAATTATAAATTTTGAATTATCATAAATACCTAGTAACTCCACTACGGGCACTAGAATCATTTTCAGAAGAAATATTACTTGGTGGTCTAGTTTCCAACTGTTCGTCATTTTCTGTAGTATCTGAAGTTTTAGTTTCGCTGTTTAAAGTAGAATCAGTACTATCAAGACTAGAAAACAAAAAAATTAAAATAAACAATGATTATTACTATTAAACATTTTAGAATATTACCAAATTGAAAAAAGAACCACTTCAAATAAAAATAAAAAAACTAAACTACAATACTAAATAATTTTAGATTCTGAATAAAGAATTTTTACTTTGGTGTCTGTCATCACTTTTTAAAATAATAAGAATAATTCAATTTTCAACTTTGAAACTGATTTCTAATTGTAAATTGAATCTACTTCATGTTTGATTCTTTAGAAATATTATAAGAAAAAGTTACCATTTTCACTGGTACAAACATAAGGATAAATAAGAATAAGAATAACTGACATTTTTATACAAAACCAGTTTTTGAAATCGGAATGGATTTTGTTTTTATAATGCATTTGAAAATTAATTAATGTAGCCTCAAAATTTTCACAAAATAGTTAAGAATTTACTAGAAATAATATTATCTTTAAAAAGTTTCAGTTCTTTTTTAGTTATTCATAGATCTTAAGATTTTTGACACTTGGATAATCTACACAATAACTAATAGTTTCTGCAGTCATATTTTACAGCATTGAAAACATTCCAAATTATTTCTCTTGCTTGACTAAGAGCTTTATGATTTTTAATCTTTGAACTCATTATAAAATAAAACTAATGATAAAACATATAAAAAAAAAAACACAGTACATAGCTATAGGTATCTATTTTTATCTATTTTATAGTGTACATATTTAATACAAAAGCACACAAACACAATAGTGGCGTGAGCAAATATTAATCATCTATATTAATTATTAGTATATTCCACGGTTTCTCTATCACATTAATCTATTAATATTATATTATTATCATTATCAGCAGTCATTAATTTTTATAAATTTATGGTAAATAATTTGAAGAGGTGCAACACAGGGTTGAAACATACTACATTTAGTTTGAGTTACACCTACTAAAAAAATACTGCTGCGTCAATTTTATCTGGCAACAACTGTATATGCATAATAATATTTTGCAAAATATTAAGATTAGTAATTATGAGCTGTTTTTAAACGTTTTAAATATTGAATTTTTTCAGTTTAATAATTTAAAGAGTTGAAAAAAATATTTAGATTAGGTCAAAAAGTTTGAAAATGTAATACAACATAAATTAAGTAAGTTAAACAATTTAAAAATATTCAAAATGCATGGGCAAGAGCCAGTATGCATGCATATTATACAGTTTTACTATAACTTAATATTGACTAAAAAGTTAAACAGTTTACATTGCAAAAATAATAAGATATGATAATAAATTGGTGATATGTAATATCGAGGAAAAGGATAGAAATCTTTTGCTGCATTTTATTGGTTTTTAATATCATACATTTAAAATTATAAGCTGATCAAAAAATCTATATTATAAGCTTCCCAACTTTTTAAACGTGCAACTGGATAAAATTTAATTTGTTGTAATCATACCTACTTATTTTATCATGCTACTAAAGTAATACACCAGTCTAAGTGTTTCAATTATTTTAAAGCTCTAATATTATTAATATCTTTGAATATAGTAAGATTCAAAATATTAACATAAAATTAAGAAATATATAGAATTTAAAAATATTTACCCAGCTACAAGACATGCTGATGAGTAATGATTCATCATCACAACAGCGGCATCTAACATACATTTTATATTGGTAATATATTTAATGCGTGCTAAACATCCTTGTCTTGTATTCTGTTCCATTAAACGTAATTCTTCATCAGTTAGTGTGTCCAAATTAGGAGGCACATTTGGTGGCTGGATTGCCATTCCTTTTATTAAAAAAATATTTAATTAGTTCAAATAACAAGCATTACTAGAAAAAAATGTTTGTACATCTCTACTACTATATAAAATTGTAAAGAGTTTTCTACGACCACACTAACCGAGAAAACTACTGAACTGATTTGGCTGAAATTTTTTGCTGTTATACCTGACAGTCTGCTGAAGGTTTTAGTACCACTTTTGTTAATAAAAAATAAGTATAAAGTTCTTAAAAAATTTAAAAACAAAAAAATAAATAATAATAAAGTTTTAATATAAGTATGTCAAGTATGTGTATTGGTCTCTATGTCAACAGTAAGTATTTAACATTATTTTTTTTGCGCCGCATGTAGATATACAATTTACACATTAAAATAACTAATTATTTACTTAATTTGATTAAATTTATGCCTATAAAATTCGCGTAATCAAAGGAACACATTAAAAAATATCTGATCAAAATTGAACCAATAGTTATTGAGTTTACTTTACACAAAAAAATCACTTACAGTTAGATATAGTAGTATAGTATGAGTTAATTTTTGGGGCCTCTCAGAGAGGTTCGAGATAACAGGCCTTTTTTAAGTTCCCATTTTGTGACAACACTGTTATCTTTTTCCACGTCACCCGATTATAATTGTCGGAGGGGTGGGAAAGGGGGATGTTCTCATTTTGTGACGACACTATTTAACATTTTTCCAATTTTTTGTCACAAGATTAAACCAAATATTAAGCTTACGATTGATCATCTATTATTCACAATTTAATTTTATTCGTCATTACAGTTATAATCTTTTACGTACTTTGTTGTAAATAAACATTTGCCGAAATTATAAACTATACTAGAGCCATTCTAAGAACGCTACTGGGCGGTGCCCAAAATTCGTCCGATCTCGCGCATTCCCACCACTAAACCTTCCCGAACGCTGGCCGCCGCCGCTACTATTATATAACGAGTGGGGGAATTTACTGCGGCAAAAGATGGTAGAGTGGGAGAAATTGGGGCACGAATCTGCGAAGCTCAGTTATTTGGATGCACAACAAGTAGCGTTCTTAGAGTGGCCCTAGTATACAAATTAATATAATAGTTTATAAAATTATAACCAATAGTTTTGATTTCAACAGGAAATAGAACAAAAAACGTTATATACTCAAAAGTTTTATAAAATTCTGTATCAACAACAGATTAATTAGCATTTTTTTGTATCTGTAATAATTTTTAATAAAAATATATTTATCATTAATACTGCTAGAAAATTTTTTATACGTTTTCATTAACCGTTTTTTTATATTTACTTGCAGATCACCTTAAATGATAAAATTTGAATACAAAATTCTACACATCATCATCCGAAAGCAAAATACCAAACACAGGCTAAACCGTGACGGGTCGGCTATTTTTTAATAAGTCTCTTAATAATAACTGTTTATAGATGAGTAAAACTAGAAAAATTTTTCATATTAATTCTATAGTAAGAATACTATTTATCTAAACCTTTTTTAAGTTATGTACTCATCATAATATTTTTTAAGTGGGATATAGTACCTTCTTTTTTTTTGAGAATTTGAAATCAAAAATTAATTTGTTTAATATCATTTATTCTTCTTCTTTTCTTTTTATGCTTTCCTATGTAAATAAAGGTTTGCTTTTCTATATTCTATTCTGTTTAAGTTAACCTGCTTATTCGATGAAAACTAGTCGTGGTTCTACATCCTTGCCTAAATCTACTACTGCATAAGTGTGAATTTTGCTTAGATATGCATACAGGTCACTACTAGTTACAAATATTATAGTGATTGGCGTACACCAGCAACTAATCTGAGTTAACTGTGAGAGGCTGACCATTTTGACAGCTCAGTATACATATGCAAAGATGGATTAACTTAAACTAAACAGAGTATATACATATCAATTTTTTTTTAGAATTATTAAAGTAGAATAAATTATGTGTATTCCCTTTTAATAAATAAAAATAATTCAAAATTAACTTACCGCCAACAAATGGTAAATTAAATGGAATTTGTGGTATATTTGAGGATGTTTGTGGTAAATCATCTAATTAAAACAAATAAATAAATATTAAATTAAGCATCTTAAATGTTGTAATCACTAAAATTGAGATTTTTAATTACTGAATAATGATGGTAACCCATTTCCAACACCTAATCCTGCTGCATTCATAAATGCAATCATTGGTTCATTTGTATTATTTGGTTCAGGTATACCATTGCTTGAATTATCATTGTTGTTGCTATTAATTTCATCAATAGACGTTGATCGTTGAAATGTGAATGGTCTAAATTGATACCGTAGTGGTGTTTGATTATAAAAAGAACTTCCATTACTTCCTGCTTGACCAGGTGATAAATGTGTATGATTATTAGTGTTTGGTCCACGATTGTTATCATTATCAGAAGATGATCCAGTTGCATCAGCAGTTAATGGTGTTTCCTGAACTGTTCTATTCAGATTCGGTGTTGGTGGTGGAGGAACATTAAAATTCTGAGTTGTTGAAGGTGTTGGGCGCAAAATATCTAATCTACAAGTAGGACATGTTTGATGACGTTGAAACCAGCTACGTAGACATGATGTATGAAATATATGATTGCATGGCAATTTTTTTGCAGCTAAAAATAATTATATAGTAGGCATAAGATTTTTTCTTATCATTTTAATAAAATAAAATAAAATTGTAGTTACTACAATTGTATAATTAAAACTATTTTATGTTTATAAAGTTAATATTATGTCAAAATTTACCTGCAGCTGTCATATCTTCACGGCATATAATACACACATTTTCAATGGCTTGTAAATCTTGTGGTGTAGCATCCGGGTATAGAGTATTCATATTATGTATTGCTCTACGAGATAGTACAAGGTCTTGGAAAACTTTTTTGAAATTTCTAAAAAATAATATGTTCATGTTTTAACTTAACAAAATTTTTTTAGAAAAATAAGCTCTACAATTTTTAATTCATAACATTAGTTAAAATAAAATACTAGAGCATATATAAAAAATATATTGTTTAAATTATTTTATTTTTTTACCTTAATGTATGATACATTGGTCGAAAAGCAAATAGTGGTATTGTGTAAGTTCGTACCATGATTACAAGGAAAACCACATACATCACAGCTTTACACAACCCTAATAAATCATAATATACATAAATGAGTAAAAATGGTTCAAATAATCAATTTAAAATTAAAGTTCTTAAAAATAAAACAATACTTATTAAGAGGACTTAAGTCAATTTTAAAGAAGATAAATATAGAAAATATTTTGATAATGTTACCACGAATAAATTAATGGTTAATTTATAATCGGAGCACTTCTGAACACATAAACACACGACAATGAATATTATTCATTGGTCACTATTTTTTAACCATTCATGACGATAAAAAAAAAAAAATTAAATTAATTAAAAAATCTATAGAATTTGGGTTTAATTGGTTGAACAGATTTTGATGTATTAACAATTAACATTGTCAACTATGTAATAACCGAAGCAAATTTTTAATATTTAAAATATTAAAATGAAAATATATAAATTTATAATAAAAAAAAAATATGGTTTTTATATTAATTGATAATTCAGCTGAAAAATAAAAATCCATCAAAAGTTAAAATAACTGATAATATATTAAAATACAATTTTAAAGTTAAAATTTATCAAACCAATAATTTTTTTGTATAATAACTATTGTCTCCTTAAACTTTATCTATATTTAGTAATGGATTAGAAAATATATTTTAAATAATCTTACCAATAAAAAATTCAAGGTACAACAGAAGGACAGCTTTACTTTCCCAAAATGTGTCACTATGTACATCTACTGCATGCAATATATACTTAAACCCTGCATTAGCTGCTAATGTGACGAGTAATGCATATTCAAATCCAAATACTAATTGCACTGATGGACCTTTGGCCATCGTAGTAGTGTATGCATCATGAATGAAATATAAATCACCCAATGTTAAGATGAATAATAGCACTATTTAAAATAATTTAAACCATTAAAAGTGTAAGCTATACATTTGAATAAATACAAAAATATTTATATTACTTACACCATATGCGCAAATGAAATATATATGATATAACTGGAGTACGTTCCATCTAAAAATATAAAAATAATATAAATATATACAAAATAACAACATATTTATTATATAAAAAATATTTAAACATACATAATCTACTCGATCTTCTGCCAACCAATGAAAACATTTTAGAAATAATAATAAAGTAAATAGAGCAACAAATTTGGGACTCAGGTCATCTTTAAAAATAGTAAATGCTAAACATGTTTCTGTCACAGCATACCAGGCTTTTTCTATTAAGCGCTAGAAATATAAAAATACCAACAAAACAATTAAATCTAATAGGTGTTTGAAAAATATTATAAAAATTAAAATAAATACCTCTGATTCTGCAGGGCGTAATGAACCAAAAAATAATTTACCAGTTAATTTCCCAATTAAATAGACAGCCACTAAAGCTTGCATATACATTATCTAAAGTATAAAATAATAATAATGTATAAATTTAGTTATTTATAAATTATAACATTTATATCCTATTTATTATAGAAAATGAATACAATGTAAGTAGGTATTATGGTTTTTTGATTTATATAAATGTTAAATCTTAAAATAATCCAAAAGCTTTTGTGTATTTTTACTTACTGCCATACTTGGATTAGATTTACATATGTATACGACTGACGGATAAAATTGTTTCTTTTGGCGAAAAGCATTTGCTATTACACAACTGGACAATACTAGACTCACGGCTACAGCCGTGGTGCTCGTCATTTTCGCTGCAGCCGCAGCCGTGGTTGTACTCATATTGTTACAACGGTTTTCTATCAGTTAACAAAAAATGTGTAAATAAATAAATATAATGACGTTTAAATATATGCGTACATATGAGATGTGATACCGACGATTTTTAACTACTCAACCGAAAATTCAACCTTTTAATTAAAAACAAACAGAATAGTTCTTTGCTGACTTAACACACTATGTTTAGTGAATAATATTTCGTTTAAGTTATACTTTCTTTTAAGTTTCAGCTTGAGTAGTACGATATATCAATAAAAACGACAAAACTGTTGTCACTATATTATAGCGTATGGACGACGTGCACGTCAACTGAATAATATCATATCAATACTGTTATCATTTTTATGTTAGTCGTCAAGTAAATAGTATTATCAGTACGATCGATAAAATTATGACCAATGCTATGATTATAGTAGTTATTAAATTACAAACTACGTAAACTGTTATAAATAATAAATATTATTAGTTCTCTATCGAAATAATAAAACAAAACAATTTAGTAAAGTAGAACGTGTTTTATTTTTCATGTTTTTTTTTTTTACTAATATTCTAGTTTTATTTACAATCCAATTACTTGTTTATTAAACTTTGCAGAACTTTAACTTTATCTTAATAATCCTTTTTGCATATTAGTTGCCATGTTATACCATATAATTTTATTTTATTTGATCAGATGGCACAGATTATATTTTATCGTTTTATGTTGTTTAATTATTAAAGAATTAATAAGAAGATAAGTAGTATAGTCATTAAAAACATATAAAATAGATATATTTGCATGTTTTGTACATGTTAAATAATTAGGTGATCTAAATTTGAAATTAAACTCAAAAGATCTGGAACTCAATAAAAATATTTATGAATGTATTTAATTTGCTCATTGATCTCGTAAATATTTGCATATATCTATTAGCTTTTAATATATGATGTTTTGAAGTCAAAAAATGTTGTACAAAAAACTAAATTTATTTATTTATTTTGAGTAATATGATATAATGAATAAAAATTACTTACGTGGAGTTAAATTATCAACACAGTATTTTTTTAGCGATATATTACTGCTATTTGGAGTAACTTTTATTAACTGGCATATCAGTTATAATGATTAGGTAGTTTTTCATTAGTTTTATAATTTTACATTTATATATTTCAATAACTTAACTTAATGGGTCTAAAATTTCAGTAACTCTTGTAAACTTTAATAAATAGAAATTGTTATTTTATCATGATAAGTTTACCAAAGTTTCATGTTAAATGTGTAAATAGCTATTAATGGACTTTTAAACGAAGTATTGTTCAATTTTGTGTATGTATGCAGAGACAAATTAACATAACTGTTGCCTCTGTAAACTTATCCATGGATAAACTATATCTTTTAAATACTTTTTAATATACTAGGTAAAAAAAAAACCAACATGTAAATATTAAGGTTGACATTAAATAACAAATGTTAAGGTTCATAAATTGTTTTAATATAAAAAATAGTATAGTTATCAAATACCAATATAATTAACATAAATTATGTTTCCAAATTTTATTCCATGCATCATTTTGTTTTTAATTGACAAAATACCTAGAAATAAATTTTTCTTATTTTAATTTTCAACATAAGTAGTTTTATCCTCTTTACAAAAAAAAAAAAAAAATGGTTTTTTAAGACATGACCAAGTTGAGAGGCAGCTGACATGTATTGAAATATTAATCCTGAAAACTATAGTATAATGAATATTTAGCCATGTAAAAATAAAAACAATTTAATTTTTGTATATGAAGAAATCACAGTAATTCATTGGCTGTAGTTTATAACTATATTTTAATATTTCTACTTTGTTTAAACAATAGAAATAGTATTCACTAATCATTTGTGTTAAATAATAATAAATAGTGATTACTAAATGGAAAAATTAAATTAAATATTCAATGTCAAGCAAATATTTAAAATCAAAAAAAATCTGTTCTACTAATAATAATTATTCTAAAATCTTACAATAAGATTTTACTTATTTATTACACATATGTCAATACTACCTAAAATTCATAATATATATAGAAGCCCGGATAGCTCAGTCGGTAGAGCATTAGGCTTTTAACCTAAGGGTCCAGGGTTCGAGTCCCTGTCCGGGCGAAATGATTTTTTGGTTTTTTTTTTAAATATTTTTTTCATAATGTATATTTTTTTTATTAATTCATACAATTTAAAGTCAATTATTTTATTTTCGTATTATGCGATAACAATAAATTACAAAATATAATATTGATTTGACGTAATTATTTATTTTTAATTACAATTAAAGATTGTATAACCACTATAACCCAATAATAAATCATAATAAAGTGACTACCAAAATGAAGCATTAACGCTATTATATATCTATAATTGTTAATTGCTGAAACTTTCAGCACTAACACTTACATTTAAAATTAACTTTAAATATAATAAATAATAATGATTATGGTGAAATATATTTGTATAATAAATATCTAATAATTTCGTAGGTATATTATGAGTAATCGCGTTTAAGCGCTAATGCTAGAATTCTCAGCAAATAGTAGCGATTCAATTTGATCAATATTATATTTATATTTAAATAACGAGTCCATGAGAAATTATATTGTCGATATCCGTCGCTATAAATTATCATTGTACATGTTTTATTATTTAAATTATTATTTCTGGGAATGTGCAAAACTACCAAAACCATCCCAAATACGTACCCTTTAAGCTTTCCAATCCATTACTCTCCATATTATCTCTTCTGCTCGACTGCACTGTGGTATGTGTGTTAAACTCCATACTTCAAAATTACTTTGATATGAAAACAGTAAATCAAATAGCCATAAAACAGTATAAAAATTTTCATTCTAAATTACAGTTTCCAATTCGCTTCCTAGTAAAGTAATAAACTAATAACCCCCCACGATGTCTTAAGAGAAAAATGTGTCGAAATTTACTAAATGACTGACAGTTAACAGACCATTACAATTTAATTTAATTAGAGGAAAAATTAACGTTGTGTTCTATCACCGGATGACCTCACTCCTCGTATGTTTCATGTTGTTTATTTATTTATGTTCAAATATGCTTTTTATGCCTTGTGGCATAGATTTTTTTATATATTCCTTTATGTTGCTCGATTTAGTTTATTATTTGTATAGCTATTTAAATATATGAAAAATACATAAATATTTTTTTTTTATTGGCATTTAAAATTAAATTTTCAGCAAAGTTGAATATTTAAGAAAAAAATTATGGGTTTTCACCTATAACGGCTTTAGTTCATTAGTGTTTAAAAATATATATACCTATATATATATAAATTGATCGTAAAGATTGTAAAGATTTGAAACACTTCAATATCATAACGTTTATTGTTACTTCCTATACACAGTGGAATTTTAAAAATATTTATTCTAATTTTAAGCTATACATTATATTAGGTACGAACTTTAATACACCATTATATGATATAGTGGCGGTAACTGGGTAACTCACGAGTTAAAAATTAATAACAATAATCCTAAATTTTATTTTTAAATTATAATATAGGTAATGTAACAGTTTTACTATTCTCATTTAATCATTTTATATCAAAAGAATAACTCAAGTATAAGGTACATTATCATTACTCATCAATTTACAATTATTTCATCATTTTTACCAATTTTCTGGTATTTGTTTTACGTACTTTCTCAATTTCTAAACTAAATCTTATAGGGTACTATGTATTACATTTATATAGCAATACATATTAACTTCATTTTATCAATTTAAGTGCATAAATTATATTGATTGATTTTAATATTGAATGGTAGAATAGTACTAAAATAGTCAAGTATTTTAAATCTATTTATGAGAATTAATTAATTATAATACAATTCAGATAATACATCATTTATACAATAAGTCTACAATGATTTATATTTAATTTTTTGTACATAAAAACTGTATAAATTAGTCTTTTATGTCAACATGATGTTTTTTGATTTTATAAACTTTGATCACTTTTTTATTGAGTATTCTGATATATTTATATAGTAAAATATAGCTTTTTAGATTTGGATCTTTATTTCTAATCTCAGAAAAAAACAAATCGGACGTGACTCGTACATAATCACCAATACGTCGTGTTAATAAATTTTAAATATCTACTCTACCGAGAAAAATCAATTATTCATGATAACAAACAAATTAAAAATTATTATATAATATATAACTATAATACTAATATTAAAATTATATTTTTAAAAGATACATCAAAAAACATTGCTTTGGAATAAAAATTAAATATATTTACTAAAAATATTACTAAATATTTTTCTGTGTATGACTTGATAATGTGAAAAATGCTTCATACAAATTAAAGCAAAAATTTAAAAGTATTAACATTAAAATGTATTCCAACATTCCCAACGTAATATTAAAAGACATCGGTTACATAATATTACACATAAGGTGACTTTACTAATATGTATTGTTTAAACATACTACATAAAGTAAATTATATGTAAACAACAAATGGTAATTATAATTATTTAAACTAAAAATTTAAAAAGAGTTATCAATATCACATTAATTTAGGTACAATTATACTATTATTGGTCTGTGGCTCTCTAGAATAAAAAATATTAAGTAGGTATACCGAATCTTATTCCAGTATAATATTTTATACTATATATTTTAAAAATGTAATTTTATTATTAGAATCATAGTTATCTATTTAAATTTTAAGTACTATTCATTCGTTTGTGAGTATTATGAACTTTTTTTAACTTTCTTAGAGAACTTTTTATTGAGACAAGGTGCTGGTATTTTGGTAATTATATATAGTTCCAAGTTTAACCATAAAGAATTAGAAATTATAATACATAATAATATACGTAAGATTTAATAAACTTTAAGTATGAAATGATAAATTTAATGCTGATTTCAATTTTGTTTTTAAAATGCATTGGCAAGATAATTTCTATCAGTATTTTTTTTTTTTTTCATAGATTTATAAGTGTTATAAGTATAGTACTTTTACTTAATTTAAGTATAAACAAAGTACATTTTTGTAAATTTTAAATATTTGATAAATTATCATAAAACTGGAGTAAAACTCATTATTTTCTCTTTTAAAATATTTAATTTTATATACTTTTTATGTATTATACATAAAAAAATATGTTAATTATTAATATTATTTTATAGTAGTATCAACATTTTGGAAGTTAATTCAATTTTGGTTTATTTTAGTGAAATAAAAAAAAAAATTATAATTTTAAGTTTAAAAATAAAAATGTACTTAAAATTAATGATATTTATTAAATTTGTATGTATATTTTACCGTAAAAGTCCTTTTATTAATTATTGCTAGGATTAACAAATGTACTCAGTAAATGCTGAAAATCATAATTTTATTCAGACTTTTACTAAACACGTTGTGTATATCCTAGCCCCTAGGATGTACAAATTGAGTTAGTTATAGCTGATTAGTAATCAGGCCATGGCTCGGAAGTTCATCACGCATTTGCATATCAATCTTGCTAAGTTTTATTTAATGCTAGATAATACAAAAATTCATTTCAAGGTATCACGGTTATATATGTAAATTTTAAAGTTTTATTTTGCATGTTTTTGCATATTTAGAGATTTTTTGCCTAATTGGCATGTTTATGCATTTTCCTATTTTATCGGACACATTATTCAAAATTTTGATATTCCTATCATATTATGACGAAAAAAAAAAAATATGATCATTTATATCATAATTTGGTTGCTCCATAAAATGATTAAAAATAAAATGTTAGTATAGTAATCTTCATTTGGTTTATCAGTTTTGAGTACGTATTATACCCATAATTTTACTTTTAAGGAAAAAAATGTATAGAATTTAAAATAGAAATTATCTTATCTACTTGATACTTGTTAACTGTAACTTTTTCAGTTATTGTAGTAAATATGTAACGTGTGTGTATATATGTTGATTCTTTTCATTTCATTAAAATCTTTTATATATTTTAATAACTTCGTTCTTGTATCATGCCAAAAGAAAAACCGTCTTCGGCCTATTTTTTTAATACGTAATTTTAGATTTTTAGTGCATATGAATGCATACATTTAAACTTTTTAAGGCATATTTTGCTATATTTTAGTGCATAAGTACATGTTTATTCAGGTTTTTTTAAGGCATGAACTTCCGAGCCCTACTGATTACTATTACGAGTGCATAGTTTATTTGAGTAACTTGTAATTAAGTGAAAAATTGCATAGTTCTTGAAGTATTTTATCAATTAGGATCTAAATCTGTGACTTTAAATTAATTATTCACTAGAAATCAATTTATTTTATGTGTGTTTCAATTACAACAACAAGCATAGGTACTTCAAGGTGATGTTCAACTTTCACTATCATGCGAGCAAGGATTTTTGAAATGTGATTGACACAATATGTAAAACTAAAAAATGCAAGTGCTTCCAAACAAATATATTATTATGCAATCTGCATAATAGTATATCGTGTACAAATAGTACAAATTAATAATATTTTTTTTTACAAACAACTATTTTATAAAGAATGAAATACATTTTTTTTACATTGTAATTTTTGTTTACGTTAGTCGTTAATCAAAGCTTTTACTAACTCAATTTATATATCTTAGAATATAATTAAGTTCAAACAGTGAATTCTAACATTAACTAAGTAAAACCTAGGTTTACTTAGTAACAGGCTTTTACGATGGCATACAAAGGTATGAGCATACGCAGAAAAAAATTCTAGATATGCTATTGATTTTTATTTGTCTAAAATGTATGTCAGACAGAAAAAATATTAAAACGCATAATCGTAAAATTAATTTAGTTATCATCATTTCTTGGCTTAAAATCAATGATATGTTTTAAACTATTTCCGTCGATATGATAATGAAAGCAACTAAATACATGAAAAGTTATTTAACTAATTAACTGTAAAGAAAAATTTATGGTTAAAAATTACAATCACATTTCACATAATACGAAAATAAAGTAATTAAAATATAATTTTATTGATCAATAATATAAATGAAAAATATTTAAAAAAAAAAAAAAGCAAAAAAACATTTCGCCCGGACAGGGACTCGAACCCTGGACCCTTAGGTTAAAAGCCTAATGCTCTACCGACTGAGCTATCCGGGCTTGTGAGAAGTAGGTGTAATTTAGGTAATATTCACATTTCACATAGGTATATAGAAATGGTAAAATTTTATTCTTAGATTTTTTTTTAAAATAAGCAGAAAATTTATAAAAACATTTTTTTCGATATTTATATTTAAGATGATTGTTTATTTTTTATTTGAACAACCAATCTTTAAATTATCAATAAAGTATTTAATGTATTGATTTGAAATTATATATCTAGTTATTTTGTATAATTGTATGTGTCTTGTGTGCATTCAGTAGAACTGTAGAAAACACTTTATAAAACAAACTTTTTTAATTTTAACCTTTAAGAGTACTTTAAGTAAATTATGGATAAACAAAACCCAATACCTAAAAAAAAAAAAATTATTGGAAAACTGGTAAAATTTAAATCATTATTTACCTATATTTTTGCATTTATTTTATATCAATATTTATTTTACCATTGTATTCATACAATAGAGCAAATGAATTATTTCTGAGTACATTGAATTTATTAGGTATATTATTAGTATTTAATTATTACAGTAGCCAATAGGTACTTGTATAAATATATTATTAATTAATAAATAACTAATAATTAACTTAGGTATGTAAATTATATTGTATATTTATATATATTTAATATAACCTATATTAATAATTTGTTACCTATTCTTAATAACTTTTGAATCAATACTTCCTAACTGTTAGAATGGTGTGAATTGCTTTGTGGTACCTATCGACAAGCAATAGTTTAAAATTATCTAACCTAAATACATATATTGAAAATGTCATTATATTTATAATATTAATGATTAATATCCATTATTATGTCCCAATAAAAGCTAAAAATTACATGTATAATATAATTGTAAAATTAATTAGTTGGTGTATTCATTATTCTGCTCAGAATCTAACACAGAATACAGAAATATCTGATTAAAAAATCATGTAATACTATCTATTTTTTTTTTTTTTTTATTACCTCCTTCTATCCTTTTACTTTTGTGATAGGTATAGAATATATTATGTGTTTAATAATATGTGTAAGTATATTAATATTATGTTATCTATTATAACTTAGGTATTCCTTAAAACTACAAAAATTAAAAGATCTCATTTTTACTAAAACTATAGATTAAACTTTACATAAAATATATAATATTGAATGATAATAATATGTATACAAATACTTACTTAGGAGGGTACGTACACTTAATTCCTTTATGGTAATGGTTTATTATTTGAGACAATCCTAAATTCATAACAAACTAAACAACACAGTACATATAATTAAATACACATAACAATTTAATAATTATAAAATATATGGGTAATAAATATTTAATGTATATGTAATATATTATACCTAGCCACCTAGATACCTAATAATAATTTTTAATTCAATGATGTCTCTTATTATTAGGATTTTAAATGTTTACCTGTTTAAAAAAATATTTATAATCCATGATATTTATTTTATAATTTTAAGAAACATAAAACTAATGTAATTTTTTTTTTATACTGACCTTATAGATTTAAGTTCTTTGGAATTGTTTATTTACTCATACATTTGGAACATGTGATATTATTTTGTGTTTAATTATTTAATAGGTATTCTAATATTGATTTTTGTAGTTTTCAATAATTGTTGTGTGGAATCTTGTTTATTGTAACAGTAGGCGTGTATAAAATATTTTCAGAATCATGACAAATATCGTAAAATGTCCTTTAAGTAAGTGGTGTAAAACTTTTTTTTTATAAAGAATAAAAAATAATTTTTTTCAAGAAATTCTTATAACTAAAAAAAAATATCACCTGTTCTTATTTTTTTTGAGTAACTATTCAAATTTATATTGAGAAATTGGAACAAATAAAAAAAAAAAAATGTTAAAATATACAGGTAGTATTATTGTACTACCAAGGTCACTATTTATTTTATACATAGGACACATAGGTAGTGTATTGATAAAATTAATTTATAACTAACGAACTATCGTATAACAAAATAACTGTTATGTACAAATATTATTAATTAATTACTTTAATGTTGTGGTATTTATACTTAGAATAACTTTTAAATATAAATTGTAGATGATTTTCAACATAGTCAAATAGCAATAGTATGCGATAATGGTTCTTATTCATTGAAAGCTGGGTTTTCCAATGAAAATTTTCCACGAGCAATAATTCCAACTATAGTTGGAAGACCTAAAAATAAAAAAGTATGCAATGTTTTTGTAACTCTATAAATTTTATATGTATAGAAATTAGAAACTTTTATAATATTATAGAAATATGCATGTATTTTTCTGTATGAATTTGGCACAGAACGCTGCTTTTTTTAAAATTTGTTGTAGGATTCCACTTTCCTGGGATATTTTGGAATATAAATTTGGTGATACTAATAACCTAACTGTCCTAACCTATAGTTTAAGATGGTTTTGTAGTCCTAAAATTGATATTGATAAATTATTATAAGTTAATGACGTTTGTAGTTTAAATTACATTTCAATAGGTAACATATTAATTTGTGTCGCATACAACATGCATAATTAATTTTTTTATTAATAATTTTATTTTATTCACATTACCCTGAGAATTATGGATTCCTATGACATACTTGCTCCGGCATCATCAAATATTGCATTAACTTTTAAAAATATAGTTTTTGCATTGCTCAAATCGATTTGGAAATATTCATCCACTCCTTACTTTTACGTACTTTTTAAATGGTTTAAACCCTAATACAAGTATATTATTTAAAATAAAATTGATAATTATCTGTGTATAATATGTCTTCAATATTTAATTTTAAATTTAAAATTAATATCTTACTTTGTTTTATATTTAAATTTTTTATCATTTTCAACCATTTAATATTGAATTATTGTTCTTTTCAGATAATTTCTAACCCAGAACATGAAGAAAATATTGTATTTTCCGGCGAGTCTGCCATAAGAAATAAAGATATTTTGGATACAATTTGTCCAATACGTAAAAGTATAATTTGCGACTGGGATGCAATGGAACAAATTTGGTACCACATGTATTACGAAGAATTATTGGTACCACCAGAAAATTATAATATTTTACATACAGAAGTGGATATGAATTCAAAGCCATTGCGTGAAAAAATGTTTGAGGTTAATGATGTTTTAAATACATAAAAAATACTTTATTATTTTGTCAAAAGTATGAAAAAGATATTATTAGACATCAGTTATATCGTCTCAGTAAAATTGTAATTCTTTTTTTTTTTTAATGTGCTAATATAGATTGGGATAGGTACTTATTAGTTTTACTTATTAATTATTATAGGTAATAGTATATTTAAAAAAAATCTCTTGTTTGGATATTTTTTTTTTTTTGGAGGATCAAAATAATAAAACCATTTCCCATCAAAGAAAAATAAGAAATTTTACTAACTTATTTTACATAAATTAGACTATGTTCGAATTATTCAACGTACCAAAGACAGCAGTGATACCAAAGTCGGTCCTTGCTTTATACAGTAGTGGCAGAACTACTGGCTTGATGGTAGATTCTGGAAACGACTACACACAAGTAATACCTATTTTCGATGGATATCCATCGCATCACGCCGTACAAACAATGTCAGTCGGTGGTTGGCATATAACACAATATTTGATGGAATTATTAAATCAACGTGGATACAGCTTTGACTCTTCAAAAGATTTCGAAATTCTAAACGATATTAAAGAAAAATTATGTTATTTTGCTTTGAACTTTAAATTTGAAAAAGATATGTATACGAAAGAAAAAGAAAAAGAATATACTCTCCCAGACGGAATGGTGATCAATGTCGAAAGCGAAGCGTTAGTATTTTATATTAATTATAACAGTTTAAAGGTTAAAATATTTTTAATAATAGGTATCTTGAGAAAAATTCTAAAAATTAAACATATTTATAGTGTATTTATAATATATATTTACAGTTCGATTATTGATAAAACGATTATTATAAAATTTATTAATTAATATATATAAATATATATATGTATATGTATAGGGTGTTTCACGGTGAACTGAAAATTGCAATAATTTTTGTTCTATTGAACATTTTCAACTTTTTTTTAATTATTAATTGTCATCTGCGCTTCATTTAAATTAATTTTTCGATTTTTTTTTTTTAAATTTTGTATGTTAAATTAATAAAAAATGTCTATTTGATATTTAAAAAAATTAAAATAGACATGTCGTTGATATGATTTTAAAAACATATTTGCAAAAAAAAAAAATAAATAAAAATTTTCAACTGTTTATTTTCTACGATATTTTTTAAGTTTGCACAATTTTATATTATTTTAAATAGATTTTTTGGATAACCGATAACCGACAATCGCTGTAACACTAATGAAATAAATTTGAATTTAAGCAAAATTTAAAAATTGTTTAAAAACTATTGACTCAACCTTAGTAAAAGTTCTAATACAAAAATTTTTCTAATAATCGGATTTACAAAATGGCTTCCATGATTTTTTTTTTTAATATCAAATAGAAAATTTTTAACTTTTTAATTTTGCATAAACATTTTTTTTTTAAATCTAAAAATATTTTAAATGTAATGTAGACAACAATTATTGACAAATTTTTCAATAGAACAAAAGTTATTGATTGTCAGTTTATCGTGAAACACTCCGTATACATAATCTATGATTTGCCTGGCTTATAATATACATATAATATGTTAAATTATAAGAAAATAATTATTGCTTTATTTATTCGAGTATTAACTATTTTAGCTTTCAATCGACTGAAATCTTGTTTGATCCTCTTTTGTTCAACATTGAATCAAAACTAGGAGGTATCCACAACTTGATATATAGATCATGCAGTGCTTACGATTATAAAGGACAAAAAACTATGTTCAACAACATCATATTGGCTGGTGGTAATACGATGTTTCCATTTCTGCCCATTCGTTTGGAGGAAATGGTAGCTAAGTTAGTCGCGTCTACTATCAAAGTTCAAATTAAAGCGGACCCCGGACGTAAATATTCTACATGGCTCGGTGGTGCTGTATTAGCTTCGATGCCCAGCTATCAGCAAATGTGGATCAGCAAGGAAATGTACGAAGAAAAGGGGGCTGCAGCTTTACACGACTGCAAAAGCTTAATTTAATTGATGTTAATGTATTGTAATTTATAATCGTTGTAAACGCCAATACCAATTTATTAGCGTTTCGACAGCTATTTTAAAATTTAAATTAAAATGATTGTTAATTGATAAATAATTTTCTTTTTACCAAAATTTCTGGCCGTTGCCGATGTATCGTTACTTATTCCGCATTTCACTCATTCACTCGTTCGAATTAAGCTTAAAATATAATACCCAGTACACTGTTTGTTTATAATTACATATATTTATAACATATTGGTATAGTGTTAAATAAATGTTTTAATAAATATTCACATATGCCAAGTGATACAATTGTGGAAGGAACACTTGCCCCTTTGAAATTATAGGGGCAAAGGTATCATTCTCTTCTCTAGTTTTGTGAGCAGTAGAAATCTTTAAATGTTATAAAATTAAGAAAAAATGGAATAGATTTATATTTTTTTTACTTAAATTATTATATACATTATACATATATCTAAATACATTCATTTTACATTTCTCTTGTATAATATACTACCGTGTGTTCAAAATTATTCAATAGATCTGGATTACAAAAATAAACCAAAAATGAACCATTTTTTATGAACTTTTATTTGTAAACAATTAAACTGTGGTAATACTATCGATTTTGATGAATTAATTATTTTGCTTCCCCAGTTTTTTATCCAATTATTATGCCACTTATATCAAACATATCTATATTAAAATTAAATAATATAATAAATTAAGCATTTCTGCACATAATAATATGATTTATCTAAAAGAAATTAACTAGCAATAAAATAATGGTATTATTAATAATGTATTATGGTTATAATTTATAACTCTTGGATTAGGTATATTCAAATTATTCTTAAGTCCTAACACTTTGGGTATATATATATACATAAAATATTGTTTCGACTATAAAATTTTCATCTTATCAAGTATTATTAATTTTTCACTTAACTAAAATTTTGTAATGGTATATATATTACGTATATAGTTCCTTAGCTGTAACCACTAGATAAATACAGTGTATTTTATGGTTAAAGGTTAAGTTAGTTATAATTTATTTATTAGCAATTTATAACAGAACATTCTGAATATTATTACTCGTAAGTATAATATGTAATAACTTTTTCGCCTCCTTTGTATGCTTTAAGGTTATATTTTCGTGGAAAAATATTTTTGTTTTTATTTTTACGTAAACTATGTTTTTCATTTTCTGATTTCTGAATCTTAGTGATTTCTTGACACTCTACCGTAGAATTACTGTCTATAGTTACATTTTCCAATTTAGTTTCTTTCATAAAAATTGAATAAAACTTAGTAGAATCCTGCTTTTGACCCCATCCAATATACATATAATCAGTTTGACTGTAAACAGTTTTATAAATATTGTTAGATTTTTCTCTTATTGAGTATTTTAATAAAAATAATAATAATAATAATAGTTACATGATTATAAAGAAAATTATTTAAACAATAATTTAAAAATAATATGATATAATTATAAGTAATTCGCAATTTAACAAACTTTAAAATATTATTTTAATAGTTATTACCACATATTATTTCTTAAAATCTAAAGCAATATTTTACATATCATGAAATTTATTTAAATAGGTATGTACTAAATTATCACTATTATCGCTGATATTTTAGTAGCCATATTCATATACAAATAAATAATTTAATTGTCATTCACAAAAATAACCACCTCAATTCCAATAAGTGACTAGTAATTAGATTTATTAACAATTATTATTTATTTTCAAAATATAACAAAATAGTTGTATATTGTATCATTTCTTTGCTTTATTAATTATTGTGTTAACATCTTGAATATACAACGCTTATTGAGAAGCTTAAGGTTAAAAGAGGCATTTCGCCCCTCCTTAATTAATTGTTACCCACCTCCTCACGAAAAATATTATGATATTACATTTCAAAAAATGTGTAGGAATATATATATATACATATATTCATGTGTTTATTTTGTTAATGAAATAAAAATTATTATTATTATTATTATTATTATTTGTTTACTGTAAAACTGTGTTAGAGAAAATAGCTTCTTTAACATTAAATTGTGAACATTTTATAAATTATCGCTAATATACTGAAAATATAAATAATAACAATAATAATAAAGAATAAAGTATTCCTTATTTGAGTAAGGATTTGAATAATATCATTGCTTTAATTAAAGACTCTAAAACTATTTTATTTGTATTCATTGTTTAATAAATTGCATATTAAAAATATAATGTTTGTTTTTTTTTAGATTATAATTAAAGATAATGTGAGATGGCAAAAATGAAAACGTGAAATGTGAGGTAGAAAGGTATTTAAAAAAGGTTCTAATTACTTGACATTAAATATTGGTGCTTCAAATTTATTTATTGTTAATAAATTAACATACATTTCAAATAATCGAATGCATACAAATTAAATTGATTAAGTTAATCTTTAATGTCATATTATACGATAGAGAGTATTTGCAAATCATTTAGGTACTGAATGAAACATTTTAACCTTTTTACTACCATAATAATCATTATAGTTTATAACTATATAATATAAACATCTTAAAACTTAAAAGAAAACATACTTGCAGTTGTAAAATCTCATTAAAACTCTAAGACTATTAAATTTATTTACTTCCTTTTTTTTTTTAAATAAAAGTTATTGCTTTATTTATTTATTTAGTTATTATTATTTATTTATTTTTTTTTTTTTACAGTAGACACCATATAATTGTAAAATTAATAAATCTCTCATTACAATTTTACAATTGTAACTGATAGTAATTAAATTAATTATTAGCTAAATTATTAAAAAATATAAGACCTAAAATTATTAGGCACAGTTATTTTAAGAATATCGATTATTATCAAAGTTCTACTTATATGTAAATACTTTTTGAATACGTTTTAAATTATACATACAGATCATAAGCAACTGCAAAAGCTCCAGGCCATATGTGAGATTTCATTATTGTATAAGAGTAACGAGAATTCAACGGAGAGCAAAGTACACCTTTCCATGCAGATGTATTGTCAACAGAGATATCATTTCCTACGTTTCCAAATAAATCATCCTTAGAATTTATTATATTTTCATTAAAACTAATTTTTTCCTCTTCTTCAAGTTCTTCAAAATCGTCTTCGTTTTTATTTAAATCAGACAACGTAGAAAAACCTAATTTATTAGTTACTCCATTGATGTCAATATGAGGATTCTTATGCACCCAATAACTTAAATTAGTTAAATTATTATTAGATATGGGTTTGAAATTTTCGTTGCGAACAAGATCATCATTTTCTGGAACTAAATATAAAACCAAAATTCAAATTTAAATGTATTCATAATATTAATATATTGTTTCTTTAAATATATTATCTTAAATTTATGAGACCCCAATTTAATTTTTATGAATATTTAGAATTTTACTTTATTTACTTTTATATTCAATTCATTGTCAAAATTATTTATAGCTTAATAATTTCATTTTGTGTATAAATATTACACATAATAAAATTTTGAATTATTTTGTTCTATTTTTGTGTTAATCATCTATTTTTTTGGCTATACATATATACTATTTAATAAATGGCTCTACGTCGAAATGTCCCAGCAAAAATATTCTATGAAAAAATATAATTATAAGAATAAAAGTATTGTTAAACATTTATTAAAAATGCTAAATTACCTATAAGATGTTTCATTAAAAAATGATTTTTCGGAAATATTTTAGTTTTAAAATATTTTATTGAGTATATTTTAATGTGTCAAAATTAAAATACATTTATATTATTTTTATTAACTACGACAAAATAGATATTATTTATTTTAATATATTTATCAAAATATTTAATAATTATAGTTATATTATAATTATCAATTACAATTAACTTATACCAGTATGTATTATTTAATAAAAATAAGACATATATTTTTATAAAAATAACAGAATATTGGTTTAAAAAAAAATATACTAAATGGTATTATTAATAAATAGTGATGTAATAGTATTTTGCAAATTTTGCTTATACTCTTTCCCAATTTTTGATAAAATTACATTATATTTAATTTTTTTGTTTAACTGTTGTAAAAGAAAAATAATTGAATCATCTTTTTTAAATTAAGTAAAAAAAATTATAAAAATCCTAAACCATCATATATGCTTAATCATATATATGTTTAATAAATTTTAATCCTACTTTTTATGCTAGAATTTAATGCAATTGAAGATTTTTTATCTGATATTCCACTCAAAGATTTATCTTTTTCATCTATAATATAATATCCACGTGGAGATATTTGAGTGCTCGATGATATTCGCGCAATTTGAGCTCTAAGATATTCATTTTCTAAGCCATTGAACTTTGGAAAACTATTTATCTATGTATAATAAAGAATAAAACATACTTAATTGATAATAATCTAATTTATATAGATATACTGACCGGATTTTTTAATTTTCCCGTGAAATATCGTTTTATTTTTTTCGCTTCAACTATATGATGTGGTTCAACCGATTCTAATTCAATCCATTTGGTATTTAATTTATTTGTAACAAAATATACCTATAAATTTTACTTTTACAAAATAAATATTGTTTATTAAATATTGTTTTAAATAAATTTAGTATTTACATTTTTGTTGGCGCCGACTCCGATCATTTCTGGTTCTAACGTGGTTTTTGTCGAAGATTTCAGAGTTGTTTTGCAACTATCACTGTCATTTAAAGAAATCCATGAATCGTATTGATCAATTGAATTTTCAGCCATTTCATCATCAAGAGATGATATAATAGATTGACATTCATTTACTGTCTCTTGGGAATTTTCTGTATCTATTGATTTTGTTTCTTGTTGAAACAAATTATCATGAGTGACATCATTAACTATTTGTTTTGATGATTTTGAGTTATGGCTTACATTCTTTACAGTCTAAATCCCATTAATAATAAATTTCACAATTATAATGTATATCAAAGAGGTAACTTCAATTTTTACCAATAATTTACGCTCTAATTCTGCGTTTGACCATTTGCATTCAATTACATAATATATTTTTTTTATCCCAAATATTTTTCCCCAAAATCTAAAGATAATTTATGAATAGTTATTGCTTAATTATTTTTAGCTTGATAATAATATTGTAAAACCATACCTAATGCTTTCAAATTTATTTAACTGAGCCATTTCATTCATAGTTAGATATATCAACGTAGCTTCATCCATTGGAAGACCAAAACCAGCTTTATTGAACATATAATTTACTTCACAAAGATTTTGGACTTGCACAATAGAATTAACATTATTCATAGTATTCTTTTCTTCGCGTTGTTCAATTTCTGATTTTCTAATATGTCTTTTGTTTTTATTATATTGTTTTTGTTGTTCAAATTGTTTTTTTGAAGCACACTAAAAATACAAATTTTATTACTGTGCCTTGAATTGTACAAATTAGTAATTTACCTATGATGTAAACCATGTCCAAGCGCTGGTACGATAAATATCATATATTTAATATAATTATATACTTAACATTTAAGTTCACAAAATACAAGTGGCTAAATAGTAAATATTCTTATACCACTTACAAATATATCCCAAAAATATTAATACTAATTTTACTGTAAATAAATAAATGAGTTCTGTAAAAGTTCTGTTTATATAGGTATTAAAAACGTAAGTGTGATTTTGATGTAACATATTTTTATTTAATTATTTCATACTTAAAGCATTTTACTTGTTGCCTCAATTCAAACATTATAATAATATGTTGTTTATAACTAAATTGCTTACAAACATTAATTAAATACTATATATCTATGAAGATAATGACCGATTTGATGCCAATTTGTTACCATCCGAGTAAAATTGATCTCACTGAATTTTATACATTAATTATATGAATGAAAATTGGGAGAACGTTATATGCCTATGATAAAGATGAAAATTTTAAATTATTTTTTTATAACAAAACTTTTAAACAATTCAAAAACCTCAAAATCAATAGATAGTCAATTTATTTTTAATGTATATTAATATATTTGAATCAGAAATTATTAGTGTTTGGCTTAATATTAGATTCAACGCCATAAAATGTTTTAAATAGGCAACTCATATATTCAAAGTATAGCTTTCCTGTATTCTTGTTTTATAGAATTTGATGATACCTACTAGTCCATCTTTTCATATCATAATATGTTCTCATGAAAACTAAATACAAATTGTTTTAATTAAAAAAAAAAAAAAACCACTGAATTTTATTCAAAGAATCCTATTTCTATTACCTTTCAAAAATGATTAATTATTAAATTTCAATAAATAATACCCCTATAATGAAATTCTTAGTTGAATAATACCCATACACAATTTGGTTTTTTTTTTTACTTCAAATTTATGAATATATATTTAATTTACCTTATACATTTGTAAACTTTTAAAACAATAATTCCGATTTATGTTATCCACAAAAACGCGTTCAAAATTAGCATCATTATGAATATATGTACGTTTTAACATTATGCTATATTTTTCAAAGTTTTCTAGTGGATTTGAAGGTTTCTCTGATAATATCTTATTTAAAATGTTTTGTAAATGACTATACCTAAACATTAAATTATGTAACAGTAAACAATCTAATGAACACATGCTTTAAAATAAAATATTATTACAATATAAAATACTAATAATTATTAATATTAAACAAAGCGGATAAATTGAACATAAGTAGAGAAAACTAAAAAAAAGTAAATAATATGAATAATATTTTAAATAACAATGATTACAAATACTACACAATTCTAGTATTTTTTTTAATTATACAGTATATACAGGTTAAAAATGTACATACATATTTTTATTATTAATAAATTAGTAGTTTTAGAATTAATTTATTTTGTTTAATATTATACTAGTTTAAATACATTTTTCTATTTCAATAAAAATAAAAATAAATGCGCATGGTCAAAAAAGTTTACAATTGTTTAAAGTTCAAATTTAAAAAAAAAATTTTGGTATCAAAATAGCTAAAGTTTGCAAATTATTTTGTCATAGGTATAAAATTCATTAATAATGTTTAATATTCATACTTTAAGTTTAAAAATTTAGTACAAAGCTCTCCAATAGTAGCTCGAAACTCAAAAATATAAAACTAAATTTTTTTTATCGATATTTGAAGTTTATATGTTGATAAAATTAAATATTAAAACAAGAATAACGGTTTTATTTATTTTTAAGGACTTGGTATTTGTACGTATATTATTTTATTTTATTAAACTCAACAATGAAATTTTCAAAATATTATTTAGATTCATTTTATATTGTCTATGTATAATAATTTATATACTTTATACCGTATTATAAATAGTAAAATAAATTACTAAAATACCAATAAAGTATATGATAAACATACTTAATAATATAGACTGACAAATTGTCTTTGTTCAAAATCACTTTTTATGCAATGGTTTATCGTTGAATTTAAATTTTATATTTCCATTACTACAGTCTACAATAAACTACTAGTTAACTTTTTATACTTTTTATTGTTGTTTATTTTTAAATTTTAAAAGTTTAATTAAGTATAAATGTAAATTAAGCATTATAATACACATTTCATACATCATATTCAAGTTGAAATTAAAATGATAATTATAGTTAAAAAAATAATATAGTTAAAAAAAAAATAGTTAAATTAATTAAACTGAATTAAAAATATCATTACCTTGTCTAGCCGTGCATAAATGGAACATACATTTATCAGAAAGTAAATAAAAGGTTTATTTGTTTTTAACGTCATTAATTTGTGATAAATATACGTAATATACGTAATACTACTAATACTGTTTCAAGTCATGAATATTTTTAAACCTTTAACCTACCTTTTTTGATGTTATCAACAATATAATATTTAAATCCATTGATACAATTCAATTATCATTTTTTATGTGAATCATTGATAAAAACTAAGTAGGTATAACGATTTGTAAGTTTAGTATTTAATATTCACTCAACATTAATGATACAATTGATTTCTAAGTTTTATTTAAATAAATGTTAAATACTTACACATTAACATTTTCATCTTCTTTTTTTAACAGTCCAATTGCATAATTAACGTCAATATCATATCGAAGTTCTTGCAATCTTGGGCCACCACACGAAAGTAATGATTTAAATTGGGTTGATTGAGTTGATACTTTTGATCTAATATAGTTACTTTTATTCTCGGTTGTTTGTAAATTATTATTAATTTCATTAAACGATTTGTTCATTGCGTCTGATATTGAGTTTACAATTTCCATATTAGACATTTTTAACAAATAGCTTATTGTTCTTATAAATTAAACACAAATATAATTAATGCATATTGCACAAATTTAATACGGAGTAAGAACAGAAATACTTCAATTATATTACTATATTATATTCAGATGAATGATTGGGTCATAAAATGTTTTATGATTAGAGACAAATCGTAGCTATGTATTGTTAGTTGTTACCTAGGATATTATTACCATTTTTTTTTTTTATCAATCAAATGTTATTTAATTAATAATTAATACTAAGACATTCTATTAAAATTAATGTGGTTTTTACTTTAATATTATATAATAATAACTATTAATCTTACTTCGAATGTTAAAAAATGAACAAATATAAAAATAATGCTGTGTATTAGGTGGATCTCAGTTCAAGGAAAAATCAGCATCAGTGTACCTTGCTTTGTGAACTAATTCAACCGAGTTGGGTAATCCGCCTATAGTAATTTGGATATAGCCATTTTATAACGCAGTTAAAACTATTCTCTTAACATATTTGATACCACATAATCTCTAAAATTTTTATCAAAATCAGTATAGTAGCTATTTAATTTATAAGCTACAAACATACATGTCTCCATTATATTCTAATTGTTTATTATTGATTGCCATTGTAAATAACTGTTTTGTTTTCTGTAACCAATGAAAAATTTAAATGTACAAAAAAAAAAAAATTAGAGTTTCGTGAGTCAATAAAATGCATCATTGAATCAAAATTTATCACATAAACGAACGTAGGTCCCAACACAAAAACTTATGGCAACATCGACCAAACTTAATATGTGAATGTATAATCTGTGAATTCCTAGAGTACTGAGTACTAACAAACGTACAATTATTTATTTATATATTATAAACATTAAAATAAAGTACAAAATTATTTATTGCTATTTAATCTGATGTAATTGAATTTAAAAAAAAAAACTGATTTTATTGCTATATTCGACATATACCGTTCATTAAAGATAATTACAATTAGAGTACAGATATTGATGAAGTTCGATTTTTTTACTAGTTCAAAATGAAATTTCGTCAATTATATAATCTACAGAAAAAAAAATTTAAAAAATTAATTTTGAATAATATAATACTATATTATTTATTAAATATCTATTATTGAAATAAATATTTATGTATAATTACGTATGTTCTCTATATTAATATGTTAGGGAAAACAACACAATTATACATAGATTAATTAAAAAAATCGTTTTTGTTATTTAGGTAAATATTTTTAAAAGGTGGTAAATGATACGTAGTATAATGAAATACATATATAAACTAGTAATATTGTTGAACGAAATACTTTTTGAATGATTTGAGGATTATTTTGAGTGATAATTAGTACTGTTGTCCTGAAATCACTAAAAAGTATACTATTGTTTAAAAAAAAATATATATCATTTTTTTAAAAGCACACTAATAGTATCGTTTAATAGATTGATAAAACTAAATTTTTAAATTAAACATTTCTAAGTAAAATTTAAAGTTTCTAATCGGTTTTACACGCTAAAGCTGAACAAATACGTTGTTCTAATCTATCTTTACACCAAGTCCACGCAACATTTTCTGGAACTCTTGTACGTTGTTGTACAGCATTCATACCACACAATGCTGAGCATAATGACCACTCAGACCATGGCGAATAATTACATCCTATAAAAATCAGTTTTATCAAATTTAAAATAATATTTACTATCACGATTCACAATATTTGTTAAAAATGTGTACAACTCCAATCACGAGTATTATTTATAGAAAAAATAATTAATCAACTTTTATACAAATAGACGTGGATGGTTGAAAAACTTATAATTCTTTTTTTATTGAAACCGTTTTATTTTTCCTTTATTTCTAAAGGTGATTGAAAGTGTAAAATTATTAAAGTTAGTAAAAGTTTTAACTTTTGAGTAGATAGATGAATATAATGATTAATGATATTACAATGTATGCATATTTTATTGTCTTTTCATTATCGACATTTGTGTCAGTTAAAAATGTTTCAATATTTACCTTTGGGCTTTGAGAGTGGTTTTTAATAGGAAATCAGGTCTATAATTGGTACTTTGAACGATCAAAAATAAAAATAAAAACAATACCTATACTCAATATATTTCTTTTAAATAACAACTTATGAATAAATAATTAGAAATTAAACATTTGTTTAGGTCATTTAACATATTAAAATAATAATTTTTACCATAAATCTGTTATGATAATCTGTATCATATTTTAATATTGATTGATGTTTATAATAATAAAATCACTACAAAATGTATTATTAATATTCGTTTAAGTTTAGAGCCCTAAGCAACATTCATACACACAACTATAAATATTAATACTTGCTTCTAGTTATAGATTATGAATAAATTAAGATTATAAAGTACTATAAAAGTTGTTATTTTAGTTATAACTATGTACAATAAAATTTTACTATGGAGTTGTACACCGTTTTTAAATACTTATATATGCTTACGTAGTTAATCAAAATAATGGGTTATGCTGTATATCATAAAAACAAACAATTAAAGTCATAGATTAATTTAAAAATATAAAGTATTAATATATATATAATTGATACTATTAAAGTAACGTCAAATATTTGGTTAATATTTAGTATTATATTTTTTCAACTAATATGTTACATTTTTAAGCCTAATAGTATTTTAGGTAATTGTAATTTGTGTTGTAATTTTTTCATTATAGATTCAACATTCTGCATGAATGTGATTAACTAAATCAATATATTCAAAATCGTTAATCATTTTTCATGTAGGTATCTAACAATAATATATTATTGTATATTTAATTCTGTAGTAATTTAAACGTTTACTATTAATAAATTATATTATTGATTTGTTCTTATCATAATATTTAATAGGATATTTAATTGCATTTTGAACTTACTGCTACATTGTCTTCCTCTACAGTTTCGACGATCAACTAGTTTTTTCCTACATTTTTTTTGTTCCAATGGATCCGTTGGAGACTAAAATATAGGATATTTTCATTAATTAATTTTTAACTAGATAATGTATTTATTTGCTAATAAATCAAACAATGTTACATATTAAAACATAGATTTGTTTACATCCTTCAAGCAACCCTTGTAATGAATACGAAGATTATTTAAGAAGTAATAAACAAAGTTAAGGTGATATTAAAGACTTATATTTAGAAGAAATAAAAAGAAAACATGTCAATATATAAAACAGAATTAACATTTTATAATATTATCACTTTTTAAAAATAAATTAACTTCACTAATATATTATATTAATTTTGCAAAAGCTTTCTTAAAGCTGTAAATGTCTGTCATTTTTGTTATATCGGTTAATATTAATACTTTGATGTTTACACATTTCAACTGCAATATTAATACAACTTCTAAACCCAAAAAAATTTTCCAATCGGTTTTAACTACATTAATATTTTTATACCTAATATTTTTTCATGCTCATAAGTTCAAATATAATTATTTTTATTTTTTTACGCTATAAGTCAGGGGTAGCCAAACTGCGGCTCATATCTTATCATAAGATAAAAAACACTTTTACAAAAAAAAAAATTAATATGAATTTATGTATTTGAAAAAGTATAATATTTTATTAGATTACAATTTATAGAAAAAATTTACAAGAAATAATGTTCTCGATATAATACTTATTTATATATATATATATTTTTATTTTTTGTTATTCATTAATATCTTATATTGTTTGCATTCTACACATTTTATTACATCTGATATCTACAATAATCATATATTTATATTAATATGACCTTTTCTTTCATTTCGACTTTTCCATATTTATCATTAAATTGGGCGGCTCGCGAGTTTCTTCTCGCTGGCCACCCCTACTGTAAGTAATACAATTTTTTTTTTTAAACATATCCAAATTAAATACCTACGTTAAAGTCAATATAAGTTAAGTTTTTATAAGGATTAATTTCTTATTAAATAATAAAATTACTAACCAGAATAGTTCGTGTACGCTCTTTAAAACCGGGACCACAAACAGCATTGCAACTGGAAAATTTACTCCAATTTGACAAAAAACATTTTTCTGTCGAATCGTCTGAAATCTAAATTGTAAAATAAAACACTTTTAATGATATATAAATTAATTAAAGTAATTGCTGTATTATTGTTGACTGTTTTCGAATTGTCCTTCGAATTATATACACTGAAAAATTTAAAATAATAAATCAATAAATTACTATTAGACCAAATTTTGAGTAATGTATTATTTAGTTAATTTTTAAAAAGCGCATTACAGCTGTTGTGTCATAACTTAATTAATTAATAATGAATAATTAAATGTTTACTTTTATATATCGAACAAATTAATCCTGGAACTTTTAGCTGAGTTAATCTGGTAAATTACATTTTTATTTTTCAAAACATAATACAAGTATTTGTAAAATGCATTTACAGTTCATCAATAATAACTTATTATTTATTCTGTCTATACTTACATCGTCAGGATTTATAGTAACAGATGTTACTGGTGTATTTTCAGAACTTGGTGAGATAGTTGTTTCTAAATAAAATAAACACTTGGTATAAAACATATATGTCAAAATATAATCATTATTTTAAATGTTGTACAGTTAAACATACGGTTAACGAAGGATGAATTGCAAAACCTATTTTTCTTTTGATTAATATTATAAACTAGAGAGCGTTGTACCGTTACATTATATTTCTTTAACATAAAACTGTTTCCAAATAACAAAATATCCTCTAATATGCAGCGTGTAAAATTATATTAAAATATTTTTACTTTTAAAATTTCAAAAATGTGTAACTTTGTAATGAATTATTAAAATCAACACATTTTACCCATTCGTATATTGTTTTCACATGGTGGATTATCGGTACAATTTATTGACTGTGTATAACAACGAGGGTCACAATTCTCTGCCATTCCAGTTCTGTCTAAATTCATCCTATGCCTCTCCCTCTGACCCGTACCACATTTCAT